AATATAGTTCATTGGAGCACACTCAAAAGTCTAAATATTGTTCATTGGAGCACACTCAATAGTCTAAATATTCTAAATATAGTTCAGTAAAGTACATTCAGTGTTCTAAATATAGTTCAATGGAGTAAATTTAGTATTCTAAATAGAGTTCAGCGGAGTACATTTAGCGTTATTAATAGAAGTTAATGGTAGTTTTCTAAACAGAATTCATTGGAGTACGTTCAGTGTTCTAAATATAGGTTATGGGAGTTTTCTAAACATAGTTCATTTGTGTACATTTATTTCTCTAAATATAGTTCATTGAAGTACATTCAGTGTTATAAATATATTACATTGGAGCAGTGGCGTAAATAAGGGGGGTTATTGGGGTTATTTACCCCCCCTAGAATCCTGGGGGTAAATACCCCCTCATGCTTGTTATACAAAGACTACTTTTTTGTAAGAGAAGTAATTATCATTATCACAGCTTAGGATTAAATATTATTGCGTAAAAATGGTGTTGTTCAAAAAAAACCGTAAAAACAAAAAAAAACGATATCTTCCAAAACAGCGAAAAAACAATTTAAAGGTTTCAAGGGTACCGTTGTGAATCAGACATTGCCATCTTTGCATCTTTAAATTACACGTTCAATCCCTTTAAGCAAAAATTTAGTTGGAAGCATAGGTGGATGCCATTAAAAAGTAAAAAACGCGGGAAATTCTGCCATTTTGATTTTAACAGGCGCCATTTAATTGTTTTGTTGTCAGTTTTCAGATTTCTGTACTGGACTTGGATCCTGCGTTGTTCTAAACTCGGAGAGAAGGTTTCCATTCTGAAATAAAATATGTGTATTAAAAAAAATCAATTAACAATTAATAATTTAACTAATTTTGGTTGCTTTCAACGCCATTATTTTCTCCTCATCGTTTTCATCATTAAATAAAAAANTCCTCTATGATAATAACCTGCCATATGACAATAACCTGCTCTATGATAATAACCTGCTCTATGATAATAACCTCCTTTATGATAATAACCTGCAATGTTAGGTTCTTTCCCAAAGGCCTTTTCCCAAGCGGCAACTTTTCAAGTCTATCATAGTAGCAGCGCTCGGCCAACTAGCCTGTTCTAGCCGCAGCACTCCGCCTGATATTCCGTCATAGCCGCAGCACTCGGCCTCAGATCCCATCATAGCCGTAGCGCCCGGATCCCCCCACTGCAGCTTGCGCGGCGCCACAGAAGGCCTAACATAACTTTTGGAAAATTGCCGCTTGGGAAATTGCACTTTTAGGTAGTTGCCACTTGGGAAATTGTCATTTGGGAAAATGGTTTTGGGAAAGTACCTAACACCTAACCTGCTCTATAATTGTGCAAAGATGATCAGTAAGTAGTTCCTTTCTTTCTAAAGAGCTGAAAAGATGAAGTTTAGCTTCTACAAACTCCTTCTCAGCTCGGTCATATCTTTTCCTTAATAGATAAATTAAGAATAAAATAAAGAAATAAAAAAAGAAATATACTAATGGAAATGAAGCAATGAGTGAGGAAATTGATAAAAAAAGAAATGAATGAATAAATGAATAAAGAATTGAATGAAAAAATTAATGAATAAATGAATGAAGTGAAACAAGAAATGAATGAATGAAGCAATGAATGTCTGAAGAAACGAATAGATTAACTTTTAAAAAAATGTCGAAAAGAAAAAATGTAAAATTGAATGTTTTATTTAAGCACTGGGTAAAGAAATTGAAGACTATCTAGATACATTAATATATGAATAATTAATGTATATATATAAAAGAAAAAATAAAGGAATAAATGTTAAAACTAATAAATAAATGAATAAAGAAATTAATAAAGAAGTGAACGAAGAAGTGAGAATAAATGAAAGAAGAACTAAATAAAAAAAGAATAAACCAATAAATGAATGAAAAAATGGGTGGATTAAGAAATGAATCAATGACGGAATAAATGAATGAAAGGAAGGATGAATGAATGAATTAATGAATAAATGAATGAATGAAAGAAGGGAAAAATTGATGAATGAATGAAAAAAGGGACAAAAGGATAAAAGGATGAATGAATGAATGAATGTATAAAAGGATGAAAGAATGAATGAAAGAATGGATAAAAGGATGAAGGTACAAAAGGATGAATATATGAATGAATGAAAGAAAGGTTAAAAGGATATATAAATGAATAAATGAATGATAGCTTACTGAGCCTCCATGAAGACAAGGCTGGCCTGTTCTATTGAATCTCTAAGAAACCTGACATCAGTGGTTAACATCACATCAATCTACACAATTATAATCAATTATTATCATTGATTACTGTGATGATATTTTAATAAAAAAAAATTTTTAGGCAGTAGTTAAAGGTGTGGTTGAAATTTCAAGCGTCTCTCCATTTAGAGAGGAGGGCCGATTCATAACTAAATACTTTAAGATATCGTTCTCTAGTTCTTCCAATATCCTCCATTTTTCTGTAGCAAGAAATCCGCAAGTCACTTTCATTTTAAAGTTAGAAATTTTAGAAAGAATAACGTCAAAATTTTCTGGGTACTGTTGTGAATCGGACATGCTCTTCTGTAAATGTAGGGTAACAAGTCTTAAGGCACAATTCTTATGACACAAATCATTCATTGGGATATGACATTACGTCAACAGTGAAAAAAGAATAAATTATATGTTTTGAGTACACATTTCGAAAAATTTATTGAAAGATAATTAAAAAATTGATATAAATATTAGTTAGCTGAATTTATTTTTCCATANAGCTTTTATTAGATTGAGTTTGTAAATCCCAGAAATGAGTGGAAAATGCAAAACAACCCCAATTAAAACCAATAATTTGATATACATCATGATATTTTTCTAGGGGGGGTAAAAAAATTTCTAGGGGGGGGTAAAAAAAAATGCGCGCCAAATTAAAAATATTTACCCCCCCCTACAGAATCCTTATATCCGCCCCTGCATTGGAGTACTTTCAGTGTTCTGATTATAGTTCAATGAAGTACATTCTGTCTTCTAAATAGAGCTCATTTGAATACATTCATTGCTCTAAATAAAGTTCATTGGAGTACATTAACTGCTCTAAATATAGTTCAGCTGAGTACATTTAGTGTTTATCGGCAGGTCCCACACAAGGTTTTAGTCGTATCTGCTGAGCAGATTTGATAAACAAGCAGACACTGAAAATGTTTTTATAAATGGATATCAAACTAGTATTATATTCTTTAATAAGATCTACCATACCTTTGACAGAGATTCAGGGACAGTCGTTGGTGCCGTTGATGTTGACGCTTGTGTCGTTGATGTTGGTGGTGGTGTCGATGATGCTGCTGCAGAGACTGATGAGTCTATTCCAGGAGGTTTATTCAGGATCTCACAGTGACCCTGATTATCCACAGCCAGCTGAACTTTGGACGGAGATTCCTGATCAATTGATTGATTGAATGATTTATATAAAATTGATGGATTGATTAGTCAATTAGTTGATAATCTAATATATGGATAAATTGATTAAATAGTTGATTATTATAGAAGTTATTATAGTATACTAGTGGATAATTATCTAAAAACTAATTGATAGAATATTTCATTGACGGATTGATTAAAAATTTCAATATATTATTTTATCAAACATTTGATTATTGATATGATTAAATATTCATATTACGATTTTAAGATCAAAAAAGTTTTATATTTATGCTGAATTCGTAAACTAAATATGGTTCGTCCCATGTGTCAAAGCCTACTCGATTCTTGCGAATAGAGGGGTACTAATCGGTATTTTTTTGGGTCTAATTTTTCGATTTTTCCCTCAATACAGTGAATATTCGACTAATATTTATTGTTTGCGCTTCGCAAAATTCATCTCAGGGAAAAAAAATTTTTTCCACCCCTGTTATATTTATAATATGATCCTTACTTTAGGCTGTAGTCTGGCCTCAGCGGGAACATTGTACACAGCCTCAACCTTCCTAAACAATTTAACCTACATGACGGGTAGAAGAAAAAATCAAAAATTTTGGAAGAAGAAAAAAAGGAAGAAAACTTTCCCACACTTACTGATTACTTTTCTAATTGTTTTATGATAAGTTTATGAAACATAAAATAGGAGATTATTTGTAAAAAATATGTTTTAAATTCTATAAAATAAAAATGCAGTATAATTAAATCATAATAAAAAAACTACATTTTTACCTGTTAACAGCGGCTTTTATCAATTTATCCCTAGATGCCTTCTTAGTGTGAGATGTTTTTGGCTCAAACTCTAAAATACTTTCTTTTTGAAAATAAACTCTGTTTCCAGAAATCCCCCATTTTGAGAGTAGCGGGCCCAATTCACAACGGTACCATTTCAAACTTTATTAGCGCATTGAAGAAGATATTAACATCTGGGAAAGAGTTAAATTATAACGATTTACTTCTTTGTCTATGCTACATAAATCCGCAATTTAATTTAAAGAAAAGGCTCAAAAATCTCATATTGCCCAGACGAGGGTTTTTAATAAAAAACATGTATAAAATGCTTACTTAGTACACAGTACACAAATTAATTAAAAATTATTTAGCAAATTTGTTTACAAAACTTTTACAAAACATTACCTGGTTTTAGTTCTTCTTCAAACCCTGCAAACGACATTTTTTGAAGTTTTTCTTTGTTTTTATTTTTCTGTTTTAATTTTGCAAACTTGTCATTTTAGAATCTGGAATACAAAAATAAGAAGTTTACGAGTGGTGTAAAAAAATGCGAGATTTTATACATTATTTTTTGTTGTTTTTACAACTTGGTAATAAGGTAGTGTTTAATTCTGGAAAGAATTTTAATTGACACAGAAACATCTTGCTTTTTTCTTTTTATAATTTTTATTTCTTTTTTATTTCAAAGTTTGTTTTCGTTGTTTACATTTTGAGAATAATGAGATTTATAAATACAAATGATCCACTTTCAGAATACATTTGGAACTGGACACATTTGTCCGTTCGTCGACATCTGTCCTTCTGTCGACATTTTCTTGATTGTCGACGGTCGACTGTGTAGGGTTAGTCGACCATCAACCTGGGAGCAATATTCATCGACATGAGCTCCTGGAACAACAGCTTAGCAGCGTATGGTAGCTTCACCTAGAGATAGAATAAATAAATAAAAATAAATAAAATAGTTTTTTTTAATTATAGACGATATAGAGANTCTCCCTGCTCCTCACCTAGACGAGACCGCGCGCCCATACGCGCTCGGACTGAACTAGGAGGACTTACTCTAGCTGAGCAGAAACCCAAGGTGTGTATTCTTACGAAACATTTAGTATAAACATCGTACAATTGTCTCTGAAGTCTCATCCTTTGTGGGTAACCCTTTAGATGAAGAGATGGATAGAAACATAGATAAATAGATAAGTATATTAATAGATAAATTAAATACACAACGCATCCCATCCTATTCCATCTCATCCCTACTCATCCCTAGTCATCCCTACCTATTCCAACTCATTCATACCCATTCCAACTCATCCATACCCATTCCATTTCATCCCTACCCATCCCATCTCATCCCTACCCATCCCATCTCATCCCTACCCATCCCATCTCATCCCTACCCATCCCATTCATCCTTACCCATCCCATCTCATCCCTACCCATCCCATCTCATCCCTACCCATCCCATCTCATCCCTACNAGAGGATCTCATCGAAGGAATCATACGCACTGTGACACCACTTCGCAGGAGCAACTCGACATTGGTCAGATCAGATGCAGCCCCAGCTCTTCGATCCCTTGCAGAAACTCCACATCCAGACCTTCAAAGCATTGGAATCCAAATAATTGTTGGAGAGGATTTCAATAAAAACAAAAACTGTCATGTTGACAAGGCAATTCAGGAGCTGGAGAATGAAATTCGCAAACTAGACCCTTCGGGCAGTAAAATTTCATCAGCAACACTAGCTCAAGCTACCTTGCGAGTGAACTCACTGATCAGACATCACGGATACTCCTCTTCAGATATCACATTCAGACGGGATGAAAACTCCAACACAGCCCTTGATATTCCAGACAAACTTCTTACGGACAAACAACATGAAACCAGGCTCAAAAACCAGTCCGCATTAAACTACAAAAATCATGCGAAAACAAACAAAACCTCCTCTCCTGGGGACATCATCATGCTCAAGATTCGAGAACCCTTCCTCGTAACCAACCAAAATGGGCATCATCTTACCATTAAGAAAATTCTAAACTCATCCTCAGACGCTCCAATAAAAACCTCCCACCGAACACAGCTCATAAGACAGTCCCAAGCTTTTCCACTAAAAAAAAATTCTTCAATCCCAATCTTCATCCAACACAAACCAAATTCCAACAGCACCATGAATGGGACCCACATGTTCATGAAGAAGGCTCTGATAATGAGGATGATTGGGAAATAACCAAACCAACAATTTATGTCCACATCCCCCAAGAGCAAAAAGATCAACAGGCCATGGAAGAACAAGATTCCTTGCCCCATATCTTCAACACTCAACCTGACCTTCTCCAACCAGATTCACCCATTGAATTTGATCAAGAGTATCGCTACCAATTACAACGTCAAATCTGGGAACGTCAGCTTATCCTATCCAGAATCAGCCAAAGCTCAGATGACTCTGATCCTTACACAGAGCACCGTGCACTAGAAACTCTAGCAAGGGAAGAAGTCCGAAAATCCTTACCTCATCCTGAGCACTCTTCACCAAAACCTCTTCATCGCACTGAAACGCCTCTGCCTGAGCGCAGATCTAAACTCACTGCCAAGCAAAAGATTGATGAATTATACAACATTCCCCAGACAGACGGAGCGGTATCCACAGATGTTTCAATTTCAGCCACTGACGGAGCAGCATCCGCTGATGTATCATTATCATCAACGAACATCATTGAAACCTCACCTGACCCTCCATCTAAAGGACCCCCAGCATCCCATCTGTGGCAACATATATCGATTTATGGCTATGATGAAGCAATTACCTATCTAATAGCCTCCCATCTATAAATATGGAGGACACTGATATGAACATAATTGATGACACTTGGACACGCAGAAAACGCTCAGTTTCTGAATCTGACTTGATTGATACAAGATTGTATTCTTTCACAGAAAGATCAATCCTCATTTAAAAGTATCCCTCTTCAAAAGACATGCCAGACTCTCTAAAACAAAAGAGAAGAAAATCCTGGAGGGTAGCGCCACCCCATTCACACAACCTATATCTAGATTCCGTTCATGGCTGCACTATCTCTCCTGATCTCCTCTGGAGTCCTCCAGGATGGCACTGCTATATGTCTGATACTTTGTGATCTTTATTATGTCCTTGTCTATCTTTCTTTACCATGTCATATCTCTAGCAGTGTCCTTTTTCTAGATACTGATGTACCGAAGACCTTAAGGCCTTTCCGTGTTTACTTCGTATACAAGTCTGANGTACAACAAATATATCACAGAAGTTACAGACATGAATTCTGTACGGATCTGACACCTAGTACAACAAATATATCACAGAAGTTACAGACATGGATTCTGTACGGGTCTGACACCTAATACAACAAATATATGACGTCAAAAGAGCGAAAAACAACTTCTCTCGTCATTTTTATAATTCAACTAACTATAAATATGATCAAAGAGACTGAAAAGGCAATTCCAAAGGACCTTCCATTGCAGAAATAGAACAAAATTGTCAACGTTATTCATCAGATTTAGGATTATCTTTTTCATTAGGAGGTCACTAGAAATTACGCCTACGTTCCCTGCTTGCAAAGTAATATTTTGGAAGAAGAAAATAGAAATTATTAGTTTTAGTAAAAGGTAAAACTATTTCATCGAAATATCAAATCCTTTTTGTACCAGTAAAAATATACTAAAGCAAATTAAAAGCAACATTCATAAAAAAATTGAAAAAATCAAAACTCTTGCAGTAATTAACGAATTAAAAAATCTTAGATCGTCAGAAAGGTTAAATTTACATTTTTTCAAAACATATTGATAAAGTGCCCTAAGAGTCAGGACCAGTGTCACCCTTGCTTTAAGGAATCAATGATTATTAAAAAAAATTATGAATTAAAAATGGAATGAATTAATTAGACCATTTAATAAATAAATGAACGAATAAATTAATGAAAGAATGAAAGGATGAATAAACGAATGAAAGAATGAAAGGATGAATAAACGAATGAAAGAATGAAAGAAAAATGAATGCATAAATAACTGAATTCACCTCAAACAATCTCTCTCTAAGGAACTGTGCTGCTCCGTGAGATATTTGACAATCTCGTTCCATCTCACCAAATCTAGAAATCAATTAATTAATCAACCAGCCCACTTTAAAGTAGGTTTTTAAACAGAGACACAGTTTTCGTGAGATTATTGGGATACCCGAAACGTTTTGAGCTTTTCTGCTTAAATATTGTAATCATATGATAAATTTATCAATGTAGAATAAACAAATCCAAAGAAATTAATCATATTTTTATTTATTTAAAGAAGATCGCTGGGGTTGTTCCTGGCCCTAGGCAATCCCACCCATCAGCACTCCCCCTATCGATACGCATATTCATCACGCCTGGGCAATATAAGAAATAATCTAGACTCCTAAAGGGCTTAAACCTAAAATGATAAAATTAAAGCACAATTTAGTTGTATAAATCTCGTTTCTCTACTTTTCGTCTTTAGAGGCCGAAATGTAAAAGGTTTAGGCACATTTTATGAAAAACCTTGAATACACTGATATGTTTTGTTAAGGGTTTAAATATTTTAGAGCTCATTAACCAGGTGAAGCCTTATTGAAGACAAATCAAGTAATATCAGTAAAATCGAATAGTCAATTGGCCAATGATTGAACTTAGCATACAATAAATCTACTAAACAATTAATAAATTAATCCCCCCCCCCCCAACCAACCAACCAACCAACCAACCAACCAGCATATCTACCTGAGACCTCCATCCCTAGCTCTACCCTCCATGGGTTGTCTAACGAGGATCTGAACAGGGCCTCGAGCTCTACTATGGATCTTATCATCCACCATATGTTTTAACCTTAGCAAACATTATTATCATCATTTTACGTTTTAATAATTCATGGATTAAAAGATTATTTATTATTTATCTATTTCTCAGTTATTATAATTATTTGTAGGGTTATCTATGGGACTATCAGCAGAATTCCATAATTCAATTAAAGATTCCAATGCGCGCCCGCGCGATTCACAACAGTACCCTTTAAACCTTTATCTGATTAATCATGTGGAAGCTATGGTCGTTTTACTCGGTATAAAAGTATTTATTTTTGATACTTCCTATAAATAAAAATGCGCAATGGAGATTGAATTTTTTTCTCTCTCATAAATTATAAACATTGTTATCTAGTTCAAACAAAGCTTTTAATGACACCGTTGTGAATCTGACATTGCAAATTACGCTTCCAGTCCCTTTAAAAGACACCTATCATCGAAATATCTCTTCAGATAAAGCGGTCCACAATGGAAGGCTTATCCATGGCGTTTTTATTTGCCCTTAAAAATATCGTTTAAATCATCATTACTATGATTAACATATCTATAAAAGAATTAGAACAGTGCTTAGGATCCATTTAATTTTGATGCGGATTCGGATCCGGATCCTGGATCCGCAGTGGAAAAAAATGGATTCGGATCCAAGTTAAATCCATAAAATTTACTGAAAGTTTTTAACAAAGTAGAATTTTCAATTTTTTTGTCTTATTTCTTTCGCTTATTTTTATGCTGAAACTTGTTGAATCATTCAGATATCAGGAAATTTCTATAATCTCTCTTTTTTCAATAGTTCAGATTTGGGTGGAGAGTAAACTTTGTATTCTTGGATCCGGATCCGTGGATCCGCATATTTTTGCGGATCCGGATCCAGGAAGCCAAAATCTTGCGGATCCAACGGATCCGGATCCTAAGCACTGGATCATAAAAATGAATAAAAAATATCTTTATTTAATTACCTTTGGTAGTAGGTGGGACCTAGAAATATTTGAGTATTGAGTTTCCTTCCAGTGTGTCCAGAGTACATCACCTCAAATAAATAAATAAACATTTAGATAGATAAAGAGATAAATATTTAGATAGATAAATAAAAAAGATGATAGATAGATAGATGGATAGAGTGGTAGATAGATATAAATATAGATATATAGATAGATAGATAAACTATAGAGATATATAGATAGAAAGATTATTGAGTTTCCTACAACTGTACCCGGAAAACATCACTTTAAAGAGATAGATATAGATATTGTTTCGCAAGCTTATGCTGCAAGCCAGGTCTATGAAGCATCCCTGTTTTACCAGTATTCACCCCTGAACTCTAGTTGTACGTTTACAAGGAAAGAAGCCGGAATGCAGAACCAGTTTTACCGACGTGTAGTTTTATTCTCTGCACATGCGCAGAATCTCTTGTGTTTAGTTAGTATACCGGTATTTTTGTGATAGAAGGATGTATGTATCCTAGACTTTTGGGATAGAATGACGTATCCTCGTTTATATATATTTGATTATCGTGCAAGTGTCGGAGGACTAATGTGGTAATTATATAAACTTATTAAGATTATCGAATTAATTTGTATTGTTCTCATTTACATTTATTCTCACATATATTCTCGAATATCTTCGTGCTACAGTTTTTCATGCCTAGATAATGTTTGATTATGATTCTGTTTGTTTGCTGAGTTTGATTGATTATCTAAAGCTTTTCTGTAGTATATAGCTCGTTTATTAAGGGCTGAGCCTTAATAAAACTTGAAGATTATCCTGTGTTGATTTATCATGAAGAGATCTGAGAGTAAAGGAGCTTACGGTCAGGCCCAACGAAACACTACACGGTAGTTAGCTGGTTTATCTTTAGGGCATCATAGTCAGTTGCGAAACAGATATATATAGATAGATACATAGATAGATATACAGATAGATAGATAAATAGATATATAGATAGATAGATAGATAGATATATCTATAATCTATATCTATATAGATAGATATAGAATATAGATAGATAGATAGTTCACCTCGTTGCCTCTGCTCTGATATCCGTACTCTAAGAGCAGTTTAGAAATCTTCTGTACGTTTACAGCATCATTGAAGGGAGTAGCATCTCCTATCTCTCCCTAGGATGATGCAATTATAAAGTATAAATAGGATGATGCAATTATTTATAATTATTGACAGGATGGTGTAATTTTATATCATAATAACTAGGATGTTTCAATTATGAATATTAATACACAGGATGATGCAATTATGAATTATAATGAATAGGATGATGCGATTATGAATAATAATAAACAGGATGATGCAATTATAAATATAATGAAAAGGATAATGCAAGTTTTAATAATTATTCATTATTATAAATTGCATGATACAAACATATATTCTATCTGATGCAACAATTTGCATAATAAATTTGCAGAGAATTTGGCCCGCATTAATATTATTAATATAAATACGAACTATAATTAATAATGTGCCTGTGGATTTCCAGTTTTCAACAGTAGAAGAAAATGGCCAAATTTGTATTGATTTTCCTATCCTTACTTTACTCAGATTTATGTTTCTTTGTGAATAAACTATCCCCCTGAAAGAGTTCGGTTGAAATAAGTTGATACTCCTTCCTGGAGTTCAGAGGATCATTACCCAAGTAACCCAAGTAAGTAACCCAATATGACTGTCAATTTAAAGAGTTGCTAATCCAATGAGCAATGTACCCTTTAAAAAATCTTGCGGATGTAACGGATCCGGATCCTACTACTGCTTTAAATATTTGTCTGGGCCAAAAAAAAGCTATCCCTGTCAATATATATAAAAATTGTTTTCTAAAAAAAGCTATCCCTGTCAATATATATAAAAATTGTTTTTTAAAAAAAGCTATCCCTAATATAAAAAATTAGGCTTACCTTGTTAGATCCAACTTTGCCCTGGAGGCATTCAATCAAGTGACCGATTGTCATTCTGGATGGGATAGCGTGGGGGTTAATGATGATGTCAGGGGTTAGTCCTTCACAGGAGAACAGCATATCTTCTTGTCTAGATAGATAGATAGATATAGATAGATAGATAGATAAATAGATAGATAGATATAGATAGATAGATATAGATAGATAGATAGATAGATAGATAGATAGATAGATAGATAGATAGTTAGATAGATTGATAGTTAGATAGATAGATAGATAGATAGTTAGATAGATAGATAGATAGATACATAGATACATAGATAGAAATATATTTCTTTATATGTGGAACTAAATCAAATCAAATCAAATCATATTTGTAGGGATGGGATGGCTTAAGGCTCCTAAAGGTGGGTTTGAGTTTCAAGTCTTGTCGACATCCGGGGTTTTCAGCCCGACCTCTACCAACATTTTGAAATGTTTTACTACGGGTTAATATTCCATTACGGACAGGGAATAGAAATAAAGGGAAACTTTACACACACTCTTCTGGTACAGACACACAACATGACTACAGTCAAGAAAATTGCAGAACAATGTTGTCAATTATAATTAAGCTTGAATAACGACTACTTTATTGTAAACTTTAATCAAATTATATTCTTTGCATGAAAATTTGGCTGTTTAGTGTTTGTTGACTTAAATATATAAATAATATGCTACATCATGTATATTAAACTTATTTTTAAGTAAACAATTAACAATAAACAAATGTACTCTCCTAGACTGTACAAAAACCGAGATTCCTATGTACTGTATATACCTGCAGTACACACCTACGTACGGTAAACTTTACACACACTCTTTTGGTACAACACATACATGACGTTTCCGCCCCTTGATTGCGGATTATGTTTAATTGATAGAAGAGCTGGAATTACGTTAAGTTATGTTCTACTTTGACAGCACAAGATTATCTAACACCTATTTTATTGCATCATTAACGCCAAATTGTAAATATAAAACCGTATTTTATAAATCAATGAAAGGATGATAATGAATGAAAAACGATTGAGAGGATGAATCAATCAATCAATCAATCAATTAATGAATCAATCAATCAATCAATCAATCAATCAATCAATGATTGTTAATGTCTACCTGTATTGAATACCACATGTTCCCTTCTGTCCGTGCCTGGAGGCGAACTTGTCTCCAATTTGTGGAATCCTAAAAATATATAATTTTCTCCGTTTTGTTAACAAATACAGTTATTATCGTTTCTACTATATAAACCCAAGTATGATAAAGGGTTTGACGAACCCGGTCATCGAAATGTGTTCGTGGACATCATAAAAAAAAATAATTTTAAAGTAAATTTTTTTTTAATTGTAAAAAATAATTTATCTGTTCTACCTGACGGATCGTACTCTGATCTTGGTGAACTTGTTTCCGTCATTATTCAGGGTCAACATCACCTATAATTAAGTTGACACTAGGAAATCAATCTTGTTTCCAGTGTTGCTATCCGATCCTGTTTATATTTGTTCCAGCTTTGAAACTAAGCATTTATTTAAAGTTTTAATTTCCTTTGAGCTTTGTTAACAAATCAATTTCACACACTGCGATATAGACAACTCTGAAAGTTAGTCATTAAATTTCATTAAATTTCACACACCTTGGCCTTTGGTTTTACCACACCAACTTACTTAAATTTTTTTGTACCTCTAGAAACATATATATTTTTAAAATGCAAAGCGCTTGTTTTTAGCTTGTTTTTAGCTTAAGTTTTTAGCTAAGTTTAGCTTAAAGAAGTAATTGGTGAAACACTGCTGAATTTTGCGTCAGAGCGTGACCATCTTAGTTTGCAGTGCACAGCAAACTGTAATTCTAAGGTTTATGTTTAGGTTTTCTTTCTTTCATATTAATGTTTGACAGGGGTATATTTTTTCAAGAATTTAACACACCCGGGGCCGGAGGGGGGGGGGTTGTTTTTGATGATAAGTGGGCAAAAATAAAAATAAGGCATCTACGAAGGGGAAGTTTTTTTTACGGTTCCGGTTCTTGGACAACAGTTAGCTTTAACGTTCAAAATACAAAAATCAGAGACCGAATATAATGAATTTGAAATCCTTCCTTAATCTTTGACTTTGAATCAAATGGTTAAAATTTGAACCTGCGACATTATTTCAGCAATGTAACTCAAACCAAATCTTTCTCCTACAGAAATAAAACTGAATGGATTTCATTATACGAAACCTATGTCAGGCCCCACCTTAAGGCAAAGAAATCCTAGAAAAGGTTAAAAAAGAGCAATAACAATGACCTCTGGACTCTCTGGGTCAACATATGAAGAGAAGCTGAAAGAGGTTGGTTTGATCTCCCTGGAGAACAGAATAAAGCGAGGAGGTATGAATTCTACATGGACATGACCATGTGGACAAGAACAAATAGTTCAGCACTGCGTATGTACCAGGAGAAGGAAGAGGTATTCAAACCAGACAGTCAAGTGATCCTTTAAAATTGAAAGTTCCGGCTGTAAAAACTGAAATATTTTTTAGCTCAAGATGCGTTAATATGTGGAATGAAATTCCACAAGTTGTAAAAATGCAAAGATCCTGAACATTTTCAAGAATAAACTGGGTGAATGGCCAACATAGCTGAAGAACGAGATGTTTTAATTATCACAACAGTGATACAACAACATAAATACACCAATTAAACCAATTAAACCAATTAAACCAATTAAACAAATTAAACCAATTAAACCAATTATGATTAGTTCCGTTAGTAAAAACTAACAACTATTGACCCTTCATCATTATTATTTGTAAACATTAAACAATCCAGAGAAAAAATGACCAATTATAGATTTCAGTCCAGCTCGTCTTCATTTTCTGGCAGAACAATTGTTTTCCCGATAATTACATCCTCTCCAGATACACGAAGCCCTGAGATGAAAACTTATGAATAAATAAGGCCTGAGATGAAGAATTATGAAGAATTCTGAGATGGAACTTTATGAATGACGAAGCCCTAAGATAGAAATTTATGAATGACGAAGCCTTGAGATAGAAATTTAAGAATGACGGAGCCCTGAGATGGAAATTTAGGAATGACGGAGCCCAGAGATGGAAATTTACGAATGACTGAGCCCTGAGATAGAAATTTATGAATGACGGAGCCCTGAGATGGAAATTTAGGATTGACGGAGCCCAGAGATGGAAATTTAAGAATGAAGAAGCCTTGAGATGGAAATTTAGGAATGACGAAGCCCTAAGATGAAATTTTAGTAATGATGAAAGACCTAAGATGAAAACTTAAAAATGACGAAGCCCTGAGGTGGACATTTTTGAATGAAGCCCTGCGGGGGGATGGTGTTTGAATTTTGATGCTCTGGTGGACAAAGAAAATTGGACATTAACCAGCCAAGTTTATTCAGCCTTTTTGATAATTTGTACACAAAAATTCATCTACTTTCCCCTAAAAATCAATTCCCCCAATTCAGCGAATACAACTTTAAAAATCACCTTACATCAGGGGGGGGGGGAATTATTTTCCAAAAATATTAACAATCCGGCTTTTAAGATGATTGATTATAAAATACTAGGCTTTTAGGGCGCTTCACCCAATATCTTCTATGTCAATTTTAACATTTTTAACAAAAAATCGTAGATTTTCAGAAAATTAATGCAAATCGAATTTTGTTGGAGGCAAATTTTTCAAATTTTGATTATCTTTAAACCTTCCCCGGGGTCATGCGAGGTACCAAACAAAATTTTGGCCCGATCGGTTCAGCCGTTTTGACGTTTATTGGATACAAACAAACAAACAGACAAGCAAAGTATATATAGAGAAGATGATAAAATGATATAAATAAATATCTGAATATAGAACCTGGGGCAATAATTCCATCATCGTCCAGTTTATCGTAGATCGCATTCCTCATCCCTTGACAAGTCTCCCTAAATAAAAAAAGTTCAAAATTCTATCTTAGAATGATATTTTAAATCAATTTACAAATTTAATCTAATTTCAAGAATAGCTAATCCAATTTGAAGAAAAGCTAATCCAATTAAATCTGATTTCAAGAATAGTTAATCCAATTTTAAGAAAAGCTAATCCAATTAAATCTAATTTCAAGAATAGTTAATCCAATTTGAAGAAAAGCTAATCCAATTAAATCTAATTTCAAGAATAGTTAATCCAATTTGAAGAATAGCTAATACAATTACATGACTAGTAAATTTAAACCATTTAAGACAAATTTAAACCAATTTCCAGAGTAGCTAAACTAATATTGTGACTAGTTGAACAAGTTTCCGGACTGATATAACTGATTTTAGACTTCTGCAAGAAATCATTAAATTCATGATGGAAAGATAACCCACCCACCCCTCCCCCCGGTCCCCATACCCCAACATTTAGAGAAGTCCAAAACGTATGAACCAGTATTTTGATAAGAATATCGACCTAAATTTATCGATCAATCGACTGACTGATTGATTGATTGATTATTGTTTACCTAGTCGGTTTCTCGAAGTTCTCCTCCTGGTCGTTCCTCTTGGTCTCCGAGTCCTTGTAGGATCTCATGAACACAGATCTAGGATAGGGTGTAACTAAGCTTCTAGATTTAAAGATTATTCTTATTCTTCATCAAATATTTTTGATAAAAAAATAATTTGAAAATGTGTATTTTTATAGTTCTGTCGTTTTCTACTATGTCTCACTCTTTTTTACCGCCGAGATTCAATTAAACTCATTTTTGGTTTAATTGGATGTTGGCAAAACAAGAAGAGTTGTTGAACCAGACTTGGGTGGTTCAAATACCTCTCTCTTCTTCATAAATATAGACGTCTGAGGACAGATTAAATCAACAGGAAGAAGCACTATAACTATGTGTTGCTAGTTGAACTATTTCTTAAGTACATTCTCAGCCACAGTAGGGAAAGAGTTCAAAGGCTATTAATAAATTCTGACCTCTGGTTAAAAGGCCAAGTTTAACTCTACCTCATGAATCCTCTGTCTACAGCAGAACTGTTTAGGATAACGGAGTCCTCCTGATTATACCCGGTATAGGTAGCAATAGCAACAATACTGTTTATACCAGCTGGCAGCTCAGAAAACCTGTATAATAATAATAATAATAATAATAATGAAAATAATAATAAAAATAATAATAATACCTGAGATAGTCCATAGATCGTGTTGTAACCAATGGTTTCTGTGGATAGTACAGTACATGAGCCAGGGTGTCCATCCGTACATGGAAGTTAGTTATGTACACTCCCATGGCTTGCTTACCCATAGCAGACTGTACAACGATATGGTCATTTTCAGCTTTACCTCCAATATTATTTTTCATCCCCGAGAATATCTTAACATGATCCTGATTTAACAAATATGACTATTATATTATTAACGGAATATTACCATACATAACCAAGAAAACAAAGGACCTAGAATTACCCTTAAATAACCCAAATATGACCCTTGACGACTAAATATGACCCTTGATGACCAAAAATGCCCTTGATAAACAAGTATGACACAAATATGACCGTTAATGACCAAACATGAACAAACATGACCAAACATGAACAAACATGACCAAACATGAACAAACATGACCATTAAAATTACCAAACATGACCGTTTATTACCAAATATGAACAAACATGACCATTAAAATTACCAAATATGACCGTTAATTACCAAATATGACCAATAATCATAAATTATGACCAAACAATGCCAAAATAATAGCTGGAAAGGGACCGTTCCTGGTATGTGTTTCTGGGTGACTGGTTATGATCAGGGAATGGGATAATGGAAGCACACACTCCTAGGATCATGGCTGGATGAATCTCACAATGGGTCCATGTCTGAAAAATACGAAAAGATTTTCAAAAAACTCTTAAAGTATCAATATACTCCACTACTCCTCTAGCAACTAGATCCTAAATATAAACCATTTTATCAATATACCCCACTACTCCACTAGCAACTAGATTCTAGATATAAACCATAGTATCAATATACTCAACTACTCCACTAGCAACTAGATTCTAGATATAAACCATTATATCAATATACTCCACTACTCCACTAGCAACTAGATCCTAGATATAAACCATAGTATCAATATACTCCACAACTCCAGTAGCAACTAGATCCTAAATATAAACCATTTTATCAATATACTCCACTACTCCCCTAGCAACTAGATTCTAGATATAAACCATTATATCAATATACTCAACTACTCCACTAGCAACTAGATCCTAGATATAAACCATAGTATCAATATACTCCACCTACTCCACTAGCAACTAGATCCTAGATATAAACTATAGTATCAATATACTCCACTACTCCAGTAGCAACTAGATCCTAAATATAAACCATTTTATCAATATACCCCACTACTCCACTAGCAACTAGATTCTATATATAAACCATAGTATCAATATACTCCACTACTCCACTACTCCACTAGCAACTAGATCCTAGACATAAGAGGCCTTTTAATGGTTTAAGCCCATTCCTAAAGAAAAATGTGTAATAAAAGTTATCTGGTATGTAGAATATAATATTCTGAGGCTTAATTAAAGGAAATTTTTAGCCACCAAATCCTTTATCATCAGAAAAAGTGTAGACACTGGATCCCAAATTTGTTCTTTGGTTCCACTGTTTTCATAATCCCGATCGCTTATCTCGATATCCACTGTGGCACTTTTAATTAAGGATCAAAGCTATTTACTATACCTTTCCATAATTTCATTTTATTTACATCTCCCCTAATCAGCGCTCCCTTCAACCCCTGACTGGGTATAATTACCATGCGAAATTAATCTCGATATCCACAATACAAGAGTTCCCAGCTCAGTTAGAATAAAAAGTAGATGCGACCAACCTGCCACTGGTAGTTGTTGAACTCCCTCTCCTTGAGGAGGTCGATATGCCTGGACTTCATGAGGAGCTTGCAGTCCTCCACAATGAGAAGAGGACGGCAGATCCTCCCGGCATCTGTGTAGATCCTGATCTCTCGGTCCCTGATGTCACGGATCATCGACACCTCGGCGTTGATGATGTCCATTTGTCGTCGGAGCTTCCTGAAATCAATCCATCAATCAGTAATTCAATCAATAAATAAATAAATAAATTAATCAATTAATCAATTAAGCAAAAAATCGATGATGCAATAAAGCCATAAATTCAGTAAATAGTTAGTAAATCAATCAGTAAATCAAACAGTAAATCAATCAATCATACAATCAATCAAAAAATAAGTAAATCCTTAGATCAATCAAGTTTATAAATCAATCAATCAAAAAATGACTCTACAGTAGATCAATCAATCAAATAATAAAAAATCAATAGATTAAATCAATAAATCAGTAAATCAAGTGTATAATTCAATCAATCAGTCTATTAAAGTAATGAGTGTATATTCTGACAATGACCGTGAGGTATACCGACCGTGACCAATGACCTAGATTAACAATGCTGTACCTCAGGGTTGTCATCAGCTGTTCAGGATCTCGATGAATACCAACCCAACATCCGTTTACAAATATCTAAATATTAAAAAATTAACTCTGTCCCTCTGTCCATCTGTCCCTCTGTCAGTCTGTCTATCATCTGTTTGTCTTTCATACTGTTCGTCTGTCCATCTGCTTGAATGTCCATGTGTTTGTTTGTCCAGGTGTTTGTCTATCCACGTGTTTGTCTGTCCATGTGTTTGTCTGTCCTTCTGGCTGTCTGTTCGTAAGTCTGTGTGTCCGTCTGTCTGTCTGTCTGTCCGTCTGTCTCTCCGTCTGTCTGTCCATCTGTCTGTCTGTCCATCTGTCTTTCTATCCATCTGTCTTTCTATCAATCTGTCTCTCTCTCTGTCTCTCTGTCTCTCTATCTCTCTATCTCTCTGTTTATCTGTCCATCAGTCCATCTGTTGATTTGTCAATCTATCTATCTGTCTATCCATCTGTCCATCATCTGTTTATCAGTCCATTAATCCATCCATTCATCTATCTATCTACCTTAGTAGCATCTGCTATACTGCTAGGAGCTATCTATATATCTACCTTAGTAGCATCTGCTATACTGCTAGGAGCTATCTATATATCTACCTTAGTAGCATCAGCTATACTGCTAGGAGCTATCTATCTATCTACCTTAGTAGCATCTGCTATACTGCTAGGAGCTATCTATATATCTACCTTAGTAGCATCTGCTATACTGCTAGGAGCTATCTCCTCGAGGTTCTCCATACTCCACTCCTCCAAGAACTCTAGGATGGGTGAGGGGGTGTTCCCCACACTAATATACGCCATCAGAGCCAAGTTCTTCACCAAACCTTTATCATTTTTTGATCAAATAAATTTATGAATCAAATCAAATCAAATCAAATCACATTTAATATTCAAAAATTAGATGATTCATCAAATTTCGATTAGAAATTGATTTAGATATATTAAAACTCGAACTTAGTATATATATGCAATATGTAAAAATAAATAATAAATGATTAATTTAGAGAAATGTACAGGGATTTACAGTAATGTTAACTTTGTTGAAAGTTCTATTTATTTACAAAACTGTAATTTTTTGAATGCAGAAATATATTAACTGACTGAGAGACTGAGAAACTGTAGGCGGTATTTATCACTTAGCAGCTCTTTTAACTTCGTAACAGTTAACTGACTAAACCTATGTTAATTTAACAACGGACCTGTTATTTTATAACAGAGATTTTTATAAATTAATATTGCTGTAAACTTATTAACATCGATGATAACAACTTTTGAGCGGTCATATCTGGCTGGCAGCGCTTATTAACAGAGAGGCTGACTACCTGACAGCGCGGATTAATTAAAAACCTTGATTAACATCGTTGTAAAATTTTGTGAGCGCTGTTAACTGACCTACAGCTGCTCCCTCTGGTGTTTCGGCAGGACAGATCATCCCCCAGAGAGTGTTGTGAAGCTGTCTCGGTTTAGCAAGTTTTCCGTCACGACCTTGGTAAATTTAAACAACTTTATTTAACATTTAGAATGTCATTTTGTTTATATTTGTTTTTACAATCATAGAGCAGGGGTCAATATAATTCAATTTCTAATCCCAAATGGGATCGGGGTTGAAAGTACATTTAGGGACATGAAAGTACACTTTATATGTCATTGTGAACTTTTACAAATTTTTGTGAACGTGTACTACACTTCAGAAATGTGAACTGCATTTGGGGTGTTAAAAGTTGTACATATTAGTATTTAATATAAGAGATAAATTATGTTATACAGAAAAATAAACACTCCCTTGCAGTAAACATTCTGCAGTATGGAGTTTGTTCTACAACTTGGCATTATATTTCCAATGGTTTACATAAAAACATGGCTTATTTCTGCCCCTAATATCAATTAATCAACATTTGGGATTGATCAGATGGAATTATATGGACCCCTGANGCGCTGGAAAAATTCATAAGCCGGCCATCATAAGACATTGCTTGAGTAACAGTTTAAGATTCTAAATACAGAACACAATTGAGGCCTTAACCCTACCTATAGGGGAGTTTATACGCCGCAGATGAGAGAGAGTCGAGGCGTAGGTCAGCCTGTTCAATACCTGGCTTACACCAGCACGGGCCTAGAGAAATCAATCAATAAATAAATCGACCATTCAATCAATCAATCGACCCACCGAGCAATTAATCATCCAATCAACCAATTTTTTCAATTTTTCAATAATTCATCATTGCAATCCATCAATCAAATTTGTTTAGTTTAGTTTTTAGATTACTCCAAGGACCCCTAAAGGGGCTTATTATGAGTTACAGTAGGTAACATAATAAATCTGCATTAGAAGTTACTTGTTATTCTTCTATTAGTAACATAAGATAGATTTAATGCATGTACGACTGAAAAATAAAATGGCGTCACATTTTTTTATTCAATTTTTTGGTATTTTTTTCGTTCTATTCATATTTCATCAATCAACTAATTATTGAAACATTATCAAGAACAAACAAAAACGTTTAATGCATTATACATGCCATCTAGTTTTCGAATTTTCAATTATGATTTTATTTATCTTTTTAAAAAAAAGTTTTTTTCAAAATCAAATGTTTTTTCAAAATCAAATGTTTTTTCAAAATCAAATTAACGGTTTATTTTATTTTGTACAAAATTAAACCGGAAATGGTACTTTTCGCGTACGTTGCTTCTCACCTGATGGGCTTTCTTCTGATCTCCCCAGTTTCCGGTGGCAAGGGAGTATCGGAGACCATCAGAGATCGTCTTCGGTTTAATTGCGAGCTCCAGGTTAAAATCCTTTCCTTTGTCGATAAACTTCTGCGCGTACATTCGCATCTCCTGGGATATAATAATTTGGTCACCTAAATTGAAGATAATTTTTGGCGTGTTTAGTGCGGTAAAGCCATTTAATAAGGACCATATTCAAAATTTATGTCTACGTTACAGCAGTCGGAAAGGTACACTATATCTTTTATCTTTCAAGGGACAATTAAGGGACAATTAAGGGACAATTAAGGGACAATTAAGTGAACAATTAAGTGAGAACTTAGTGACAATAATTTCCACTTTCCTGCAGTTTACCAAAAAAACTAATTTTCAAACTTGAAAACTCCCATTTATAAGTCTTAAAACATCTCACTAATCTTACCATAGACGTATACAAGGGAAGCGGTGTCCTCCCCCCTGGACAAGTGAAATCTATGATGGTTTTAGGCCCCAATCTATCTATCTATTTATTATGACGCGTCTGCAACCCTCTAAGAACTACAGAAAACCGCCCCTTGGACAGATCCCGTTTGAATACAGAAGTATACAGCCAGAATCGGCTGTTAACAATGGGTAATGAGGCTCCCCCCCCCTGGAAAGAAATAAGTTTTATGCTGAACAAATTCCTGTATGCGCCTCTAATATTTACCTTCCCAGTGCAGCCAATAGAAGTCTGTGAACCATGTATCCCAGGAAATATGCTTTACGGGTCTCACAGTAGTCTGCGTACACAATATATCATTTATAGGGTCATAGAGTACAAGGATTACAAGGGGGGGGCGGTAATTATTTACGAGGTCATAGAATACGTTTATTACAAGAAGACCACTGAACAATGATTAAAGAAGGTGTCAACGAATATTTAAAAACCAGGATGTAAGTGTAAAATGTGTTAATTATTATTGAGTGATCAGTAATCTGGTCATCTAAAAAGTTCACTTACAGCGGAACGTAAGTGTGGAATGGAAAAACGTCTGTTATCTATATATATAAAGTTGTAATCTCTGTTTGTTTGTCCGATCATAACTCATAAACCCCTGGCACAGACAATGTTGGTTTACCACAGGTAAAGCTGGGTACCCACGCTAATTGATTATATTCCTGAAACTCCAACATGAGGCAGGGTCTCCTTCTGTAGAATCTCACGAGCATATTTTATACGTTTCTCCTAAACACAACAATTATCATTAAAGGGACTGTCCATGTTTTTCCAGTCACCCTCCTTATAAAAACCAACATTTCCGGTTCACAAACGGTACCCTTGAAACCTCTATCGGAGTAACCATGTAAACAGCGAAATTTTTTTGTATTTTTAAACGCTTAATGTGAATTCAAGAGGTATCGTTGTGCATCGTTAGGATATTTTTCCGTTGCGTTCCTTTAAGAGATCTGTTGTGTAATTCTAAGTGACCCTCATAATAATAAGAGGCATGTCCAATTTACAACGGTACCCTTTACACCTTGAGCTAATCAATAATGTGGAAGATAACGTTGGTTTTCTAGCAAGTGAAGTTGTAAGATCTACGGATCTTTTCTTAAATCTTGATGTTCAGGTTGAATCCAGAAATCGTGATCTAAAGAAGCACATGAAGATCTTCTCATCTAACTCTACACTTGTTCCTACTATTATATACATGAACATTTATTCAAAATTATATATAAGATTTTATCTGAGAGTTTAACTAAAGTTTTATGTTAAATGTATTTTTTCTGGCCTAAAGTTTTATATCTTCAAGCTTAACAAGCTTTTTTATAACGTCTAAGTTTATAATTTAAAGAGCCTATATTAAAAAATTATATTTAATGGTCTATGTATTTCAGACCATAATGGGCTAGTCAACTGTCCATACATCTTGTTAGTACTCCAGGTTGTGCAATACTAGGTTTATAAAACATCTTATTTAAATGTAAATGTAACACTGGCTAAAACCTTTTGAATCTAAGCTCATTAAAACTTATCCAGATCGTACGTGTATTTCAACGCCTGTTCTGAACTATGAACTAATAAACTAACAGGTGAAAACACATTTCTAGAAAATTTAGAACTTTTGAAGTTTATGCGAAACTAACTACTCCCTTATCTCTTAGACCAAGTCCTCCTCTGATGTGTCCTCGCCGTACTCCTGGACGAGAATGATAGCTTCAACACGAATGAGAGTCTGTTTGTATCTTCAACATGAATGAGAATCTGCCCGCGGAGTACCTCCCTGCTGAGCAACAATATCTCCACCTCCTCTCGGAGAAGTCCCGTCGGAAGTAACTGTGCTTCTCTAAACCGGGACTGCTGCTTTCGAGCAGACAAAGGTGAAGATTGAATATGAACTGCTCTCAAGATGAGATCTAATGTAAACCTAATCTTATTTAGATCCCATCTACATCTCTACTTCCTCTCGGAGAAGTATCCACGCCTCTTCTCGTAGAAGTATCCTCGCCTCCTCTCGGAGAAGTATCCTCGCCTCCTCTCGGAGAAGTCCCGTCGGAAGCATTTGTGTTTCTCTAAACCGGGACTGCTGCTTTCGAGCAGATAAAGGTGAAAAACGATTATGAAGCTATCCTCAAGATTTAGATCTAATGTTAACCTAATCTTATTTAGATTCCATCACTATCCGTACCTCCTCTCGGAGAAGTATCCGTTCCTCCTCTCGGAGAAGTATCCGTTCCTCCTCTCGGAGAAGTCCCGTCGGAAGCATCTGTGTTTCTCTAAACCAGGACTGCTGCTTTCGAGCAGATAAAGGTATATAATCGAGTTTCGTGTGATCTTTGTGAACAATTAAAGACGAAAGTGTGACTATCTCCTCTAACACATGATAAGCCTTTATATAAACTCTTCTTATTATTTCTAGTTATGTATAACAGACAGCTGGTAACAATCATCCAACTCTAGAGCTATTAAATTCTCAAGCCTAATCAACTTAGTAAGTGTTACTTTAATTTATATATATTTGTCGCAACTTATTCACATTTAGCACATTGTAAGTGTTATTTCAATTCAAAATCGTTGTTACAATTTAATCACACGCTAAGTGTGATTAAATTGTAACAACACATGGAGCAAATTTTATTGTAAACTTGGCTTATTTTATTCATTTAAATAACTATAATACTAATTTATTATTTATTTTAACCCGTGACTGATGTATTGTTATTCAGTTCACGGGTCCTAGCTCTGTATCGCTGTACCAGAAATAAAGAATATAAGAGACTCATGTGTATTAAAGAGGTGCGCAATAGAGAATTGATGTTGCCCCATCATGTTAATAGCTGAAAAATTCCTGTGGATCTAGGTATTGTTTCTAGGGAAAATGCTAAAATTCCCAAAACGGGCACAAAAGTGTCTAGTTCTACCAACTTTTCTATAAAAAAGTATATTTCACACTTGATTAGACAAAGCTTATAAGGGAACCTTTGTGAATCGAGCTTGCCACTCAAACTATGGAGGATCACTTGAAATTACGTTTACATTCCCTTAAATAATTCTAGTAATTTTATTGATCTAAAAACTGACCTTTGTTACACCAGGCCTGGCTCCTCTGGATCCAATGAAGTTCAAGGCAACATTTTGTTCCTACATTTAAAAGATATATAATTCAAAAATTTACTTTTCTGACAGAATTCACGATTCTATTATTGTAAAATAGCCGTTAAATATCCCCTCCAAAAAAAATTAAAAAAATAATTTTTCAAGATTTTATTTTAAATAGGATAAAAAAAGTATAAGCTCCCTTCATGTTTGTTCCCCCTTCTCTTTCATATTCTATAAACATGTTTTTCTTGTCTTAACGTCAAAATGGCTGAACCGAATGGGAAATTTTTTGTTGCAGTTCACATGACCATAGGGAAGATTTATTTTGAAATTAAAATTTTGTTAGTGAAAAATGTAGATTAATCAAATTTTAAAAACCCATTAATGATAACAGAAAAAACCGCTCAATTTATTTATTTACAAAGAAAAACGGCGTCTCGAAAACGATAGTCTCTGGAAGAGTTAATGCCAAGTGATTTATACCTGAATTACAAAAGCTTCATCTAAGGAGGGTTTAACCATCTCCATCAGCTCAGGATCATCAAAATCATAAATAATGTGCTCCAAAATATCCCTAGAGTAAAATAATTATTCTAATTCTAATAATAATATTATATTATCAGTATCAATATCATTATTTTTATTTTAAGGACGCAAGAATTCTTAAAATAATCACAACTTTTCAGCATTGCTTTAACTCAATTACAAATATTAAGACAAATATTATCATAAACTAAATTTATAGTCTTTGTATGTTCCTAGAAGGTTGAAATTTCATAAAATAAGTTTATCAAAATCCTAAACATCAAAGTACGAATAAACCACAGTGAAGGACTTCCCGGAAATAATATTGAAAGATGATTCTGTAATAAAAATTGAAAGATGTCTCTTAAATAAAATAAAATAATAAGGATTCAAAAATAAAAATAACAGTTAAGTGTTCAAAAATAAAATTGTTTGATGTCCCAAAAATTAAATATAAAAAGGGTGTCCTAAAAAACCAGCGTCCAGAAAGTTGTTGAAGGGTGACCAACCTGTCTGCAACGAAGCCAAGTGCTCTGAAGACGATCATGATGGGGATCTCCTGCTTGATGTACGGGAGGATCCCCACTATTCTCTGTCCTATGGCGGATTTCTTAACGTTCTGCCCTCCGCGGGCCAACATGTTGATCCACAATGTGCTCGTAGGTCGGGAGGAGTGCTCAAGACAAGATCTGAACATTTATCATGAAAGGGACTGTACACGTTGTTTCAAGCGAGTCTCCGTTTAATTAATGGCTTTCTGACTAACAATGTTAACCATAATAGCTTTGTCTGATCAAGGACGGATGATGTCAATCATAATTTCTTGCAAAATTGATTTTTAAAAGTTAGATTTTTCTTCTTAGTAACTTGCGCACATCTGCTACAAAAGCACGATAGAAAAACAGTCTAATTATAAAACACAAAAATATGTTAATCCAAAGTAATTACGTAGAATCCAAAGGATGTACTGATTTTGAATTACAAATATTTAGAAATACAAATTCAAACTAAACCATGAAAAAATGTGTGACAATTAATTTGCTTTTCTTAAATACTACTGCCTCAACTTTTCAGAATAACTTTCAATGCAATAAAAACAAAAGAAAATTGTTAAAACTAACCTTTGTTACTTAAAATTAACGCAAATTTTCTAATCGAATGCAAGAATTAGATATGGCACAAGCGAATGGGAATGACAATGACGCACCTGATTTCAGTTTTGTACGCAAACTTTCCGTCCTTCATGCTGAACACGTAGACGGTGTTGGTGGCCATCTTCTCCTGCGCGATCAAAACCTAAATAATTTAATAGAATTGTAGAATTGTAAAAAATCTAACCTGGTGTTAATTTTCTATTAAAACATATAACAGTGTAATTAAAAAAATTTAATTATTTTTTTATTTCTTATTTTCTCGCAATTACCTTTTCTGATCCGTTGATAATGAAGTAACCGCCGGGATCTGATGAAAACATCGAACTTGACATATTAAAATCCAGAAAATGTTCTATTCGTTTATTTCATGTCAAATAAGTCTAACTCGTATTATATTCGTTATAAATTCATGGCATATTTCGTCTAACTCATGTCGAATTCTGCCCTATTTATGATATACTTCGTCTAAGTCATTTCTTATTCTGTTCATGTCTTTTTTTTTGTACGATTTAAATATAAATTCATCTATTTCACAACGGTCATATTTAATTCACATGCTAATGTCAAGTTTATAATTCCTAACGGGCATTCGTTCAGCTCTGTGAGTTTTGTACGATTTAAATATAAATTCATCTATTTCACAACGGTCATATTTAATTCACATGCTAATGTCAAGTTTATAATTCCTAACGGGCATTCGTTGAGCTCTGTAAGATCTCTGTCGGTCATACCGTTGAGCAAGCAGTAGGTTGACCGCAGCATAATAGGAATCTTTCCTAGAATAAGGAATCATAAGGAAGTGGAATCTGTAAGAGGCCCCAATGTGGACCCCCCAGACCGCCGCCAGGTGCAGGATCACCGTTCCGCACCTATTCTAACCAGACCTTTAAACCCCAACAGTTAGTCCAATGCCAGGGAAATAAAAGAGATACATTCCAGCCAAAAAGGGCAGATTTGAAAAATAAAATATCAAAATTATTGTGACTGTTGACATAAAAATGTTTAAAAACCATTTATATCACTATTAAAAAATTAATTATTTAAAATTAGTTAAGAGGGTGGGGGGGATGAATTATTTGTTCATGAAAATATATACCCCTTTAAATCATACCTATAAATGTTTTCTGATGCTGAGTCTCTACTGGGTCCTGTCCTTCTCTTACAACAGTCTTAGTGATATCGACATACAGAGGAGCAGAGTAGGTCAGATTCCTACAAATATTAGGGGTTTAGAGAGTACATAGTACATGTAAGAGGTTATTAAGTACATTCATTTATGATCTCAACATACAGAGGAGCAGAGTAGGTCAGATTCCTACAAATATTTAAAGTTGAAGAGTACACCAGGTTTCTGTACATACATAGCTAGGTTGTTAAGTACATCAGGTTTCTGTACATGCAACAGAGTACATACATGGTGCTTATAAAGTACAAACATAGGTTAAGTACATTTGGTTCCTGCACATAAGGAGGTTACCTGTACATACATAGTTTATAGAGAATATTTGGCATTGGTACATTTAGATATTAAGAAGTAAATCCCAAGAACTTAAAAGCCAAACGGGTTCAAAAATGAACATGTGCCAGAAATAAAGCCCCTCCCCCTCCCCCCCCATTTCTAGATAAGTCGACTCATTATCATCATTTCTAATCAGGCTTTAAAAGAACCAGTCAATAGGCAGAATAATCTCTTGGATATACGTGCACAGTCCCTTTAAGATCTTACCTGAGCCTAGCCTCGTTCGGCATCATAGGTGTAGGAGCTCCATCTTTCTCCCAATGAGTTGGTTTGGAGAGATAAATCTGCTCAAATTTCAAGAGGAACCGTGGAGGGGTCTCAACCTCCCCTTGGGCATGCTGAGCCTCCCCCTAGATAGATAGATATAACGTGGGCAGATAGAGACAGATAGATAAATATAAAGATTAATATATAAACAGATAGATAGATAAATATGCTAGATAGATATATAGAAAGATAATTATGATTGATAGATTAGATATATATAAATATAAAGATAGAGATAAAGATAGAGATAGATAGTTGACCTGTAATTCCCCAACCTCTAGTACTAATGAGGACACCATAGAAATATATTTACTGAAATGTGTTCTCCATCGTTTATCTTTAATCTGGTTTGGTTCAACCGTCCACCAACTATATCAAATGTTAGAACATCTCTTTAAAATTTCCCTTTGGGCGTGCTAGAGATCAGAACTAACCTTTAAGGTCAATCTGAAGATCAAAACTAATCCGGAGATCAATCTACAGATCAATACTAACCTGGAGATCAATCTGAGGTGCATCCTCCACGATCCTTTGAACATTCATTTGAATAAACTCGTCAAAGGAATCCAACTGCTGTCTTACCAATCCTAAACAACAGACAAGATCGAGTTATTTGTTTATTTTAGAAAAAGAAGGCGAAAACTCTTCCTTGGAGCTAGTTTTTCGGTTCGGAAGTACACTAAAAATTACAAAAATAAAGTACCACGGATATTTGAAGGAAAGGTAGCATTAGAAGACTAAAACAAACCCCCGCGAAGTGATTACATCTTTGTTTAGAGCAGGTGATTTTATCAAAACCCTTTGTACGTCGGACAATATCGTAAAAGAAAAATTCGAGTGTGGCACTCATCTTGCATGTGCCTTACGAGCTTCTCAGATTTCAGAGATAAAAATGTTGTTCAGTTTCTTTAACTCGTTTATGGGCATTTTTAAGGTAAAAACATGCGACAATAGAGAAATAAAAATTTCTTCAAGTGTAATCATCTGACCTTTCTCGTCGAAATAAGCCGAGATAACGATCCAGCAAGCTTCCTGCCAGATATCATTAGAAATCTCTTCAGAATCCTGAACAAATTAAATATTAATGAATGAAATAAAAAATATAAGACTTAAACTTTCCGGCAATCAATGATATCTATATCGACAATAATATTAATGCGTAAAAACAATTTCTTAATGACATCAACGTTTTTTTTTTGCTAAAACTTATTTACATTCTAAGGAAAATCACTAACTACAAAGCAACAATCTTTTGTTACAAATGGTTTACTAACAGCCGAATTGAGTGTATAATAGAAATATTGTGCTTAAAAACTGCATAACAATATTTTCACGTGTTTTTTAACGCATTTGAACCACAAACGAAAGGTTTAATTAAGGATATAAAAGGAAAAACATGAAGTTTAAATTCACCTCTCCATCCTCCACATATTCCTCTTCTTGTTCATACATCTTAAATCTACAAATTCAAAATAATTAAAAATAGTTAAAAGCGCGGCTTTAAGTTTTAAACAAATCACAAAATTAAAAGTCCTTACATTAAAACTATTCAATAACATAATTCTTTAAATTTCACTCCAAAATTGTTGACAATTTTGGTATAAATACAGTTTTTTTGAAGAGTTTAAATTCCGGTAGAGTTCAATGTTGAAATTATAACTTAGTGCTTCGTAGAACAATAAATGCGCTATTTTATATTTAATGCCTCGTAACATTCATTAAATTAAATTAATTTAGAAATCAACTAATCAAAACATTTACTTAAGAAATTTAGCAATATTAGACTTTACAGAATATTTTTAGACCATTAAATGAAATCATAAATTATTCAAAAATATTTATTTGCGTTTCTAATTTTCAATTTTATAAATTTTACTGTTGCCAATTAAAATAAGATTATCGTGGATCGAAGACGATTTTGTTATCTTCATAGACTCTACGCCAAAATGTATACAAATAACTTTATTTCACGATAAACATTAAACAGTTGGCATTTTTTAATTTATTATAACATCAGGCTAAACCGACCAAGCTATAATACGCTTGATTAATTTCTAAAAGAGAAAATAATGAAACTTAAGGGCACAAGAAGAGGAGGAGAAGAAAAGGGAACATAATAACCAAAAAAGAGTGAAAAGAAAACCGAAAATGGAAGTAAAGATTAAAGAAGATACAAATAGGAAAATGGAAGTAAAGATTAAAGAAGATACAAATAGGAAAATGGAAGTAAAGATTAAAGTTGGAAAGAAAGAAAGCAGAGATTAAAGTATAAAAAATGGTCCCTGGTCCCTCTCTACTAAAATTATAGAGAACCGTTAGATTGGGTACACTTTATAGAATGCTCTGAAGGGGCAGACAATTCAGCGTAAAATACGAAAATGACCCCCCCCCTCTCTTAAAAATTACCTGTTGTATAAATGATAATATGAGAAACGTCGAGTAATAATTGTAATGTTTTCACCATACTTCTTAACTACTTTCCTAGATATGACAATTTGAAAATTCTCACATTTTTTTTCAATTTTTTTATTTTTTAAGTTTTTATTTTGGAATAAATGTTTTTTTTAGAAATTTGTAACTTCCAGCTATTTTGATCTAAAGTGGTCTTTTTTAAAACCAAGATTAAAATGTAGATATATGGTTTTTATTATAAGTAATATAAAGAATTTTGATCTATATTCTCATAAACAATTTTCACAACTTTGGCTAACAATTTTTTTAATTTTAGAAAAATGTCGTTCTCAGACAATATAGGGGGTGTTCCTGTCCCGCCTCTCCCAGTCAGATCTAATCCAAACCAACCAAGTAAGTTTTTTTTCACTTTGTAAATTCGGGATCGGGGGTATACAGCATAGGGGGGGGGAGGGTCATGCACAACCCCAGAACTTATCTTTTTTCCCCTTCTTCTACCTTCCCCTTCTTAACTCTCCCTCTCCTTCTTCCTTTCCTTCTTCTCTCTCCCCTTATTCTCTCCCCCCTTCTTTTCCCCCTTTCTTCTCCTCCCCCTTCTTCTCCACCCTTTCTTCTCCTCCCCTATTCTCCTTCCCTCTTCTTGTCTCCCACTGCTTCTCCCCTCTTCTTCTCCCCTGCATCTTCTTCCCTCCCTTCTTCTTCCTCCTTTTCCCATTCTGCTCACTTTCTACTCCACAATTTTTAACGATTTTTTTTCAGGAGGAAATTCAGGAGCACTATATCCTTCAGGGGCAACAAGTCAAGGGACACCTTACCCAGGGGCTCCCTATGCCCCAGGGGGTCAGCAAGGGGTTCAGTATCAACAAGGGACCGGTCAGGGGCCCCCGCTACCTCCAAGGGTAGGAGGAGGAGGAGGGCAGAGTAGATATCCTTATCAGTCTCCAGGTAGGAAGAAACAAAAAGTTANTAAAGAATAATTTCTAATTATGAATCCAACCTGATAAGTCCAACAAACTAAAACTCTCATTATAAAGTTCGAAAACGACGTTGTCACTTATACCCTTTTTAGCTTATGGTGGAGTGCGGGGTGGATATTCAACTCTCTCCCCATACAGTTCACAATACTCATCTATATCCAGATATCCACCAAGTTATATGGGTAGGTACATTTTTACAAAGACGATATCCTTCGCGACATTTCTCAAGTTATAAAGTGAAAGAAGACGACATTCGTTCCTAAGTTAAAAAATTTATTGAAGTTAAAATCTAATAAAAATCGGCTAAAAACATCAACAAATGTTTTTAAAATCGAATTAAATCTGATATTTTTCCAGGATATTCTCAGTTTGATACTCAGAATAGTTTTATAAGTTTAGCAGAGCACAGTGCTCTTCCTGCATTTCAGGTAATTATTTCATCCCCTTTTTGTTTTCAGATAATATTTCCTGCCCAATTCTGGCCTTAATTTCTGTCTTTTCTGCAAGTGGTGTACCTTTTAGTTTAGTAGTATTTCTTGATCAATATATGTTTATTGTCTTTACTCAAATACTTATATAGGTTTTAAAAAATCGATTTTTTTTCTTCAAAATTTAATTTTTTCCAAAAACATTTTTTTCAAACTTCAATTTTTTTCATTCCAGGGCAACGCCGAACACTCCAGCTAGTTGATAATAACTCTTGATTCTGTTTTAGTCAATTGAATCTATTGTTCAAGCCTTCGGATCTGTTTCTATGATGTTAGGTAGGTTTAGAATAGTGCGTAGGATCTGTTTCTTTGATGTTAGGTAGGTTTAGAATAGGGCGAAGGATCTGTTTCTATCATGTTAGGTAGGTTTAGAATAGTGCGTAGGATCTTTTTTATTTTGATGCAAATCAATTTCATGAATATTAATCTCGAGTTTTGCCGAAAAAATTCGACAATTTTTTCGCAAATTTTTATGTAGAAACTTGATTCATCATTCAATCAATATAAAAATTTTAACGTTAGATCTCACATTGATTGACACTTCAACTGTGTTTTTTTTAGCAAAAAACGGTTCTTTCCGGATGGTTTGGTTATATTTTTTATTTGGATCCGGATCTTTAGCATTTTGTTGAATTCAATTTTTTATTTTGTGAAAGGGGGAACAATAAGATTGATACTTCAAATTGTTATGTCATTTTGTTTTGTTAAAAAAGCATTAACTACCCTTTTAATAATTATGACGATTAAACACCCTTAAACTATAAAAATTGACAAGATACCTTCTAAATTTTGTTTTTTTTTTCTCATGTTTTTTCTATAAAGTTTTCCTATTGGTTTGTTTAGAATCCAGTTATCATGCAGTGCGAGCTAGTTTTCAAGCAGTGCTGGGCGTGGCAGAACATTTTACTAAGATGAAACTTCAAATATCACAGGTGTTGATCTTTTTATGATACTTCAAATTGTTATGTCATTTTGTTTTGTTAAAAAAGCATTAACTACCCTTTTAATAATTATGACGATTAAACACCCTTAAACTTAAACTGAATTTTGTTTTATTTTCTCATGTTTTTTCTATAAAGTTTTTCTATTGGTTTGTTTAGAATCCAGTTATCATGCAGTGCGAGCTAGTTTTCAAGCAGTGCTGGGTGTGGCAGAACATTTTACTAAGATGAAACTTCAAATATCACAGGTGTTGATCTTTTTATAAAATATGTCTTGCTTTTAGTGAATTTAACATTTTTTCTTAAGTTTCTACCTTCTATAATGCATACATATAGTTAATACAATAAAAGAAGATGCAGATTTTTTGCTTGTAAAAAATTATAACTTGTATTTTTAGCAATAAACTATATCTTGTCTATCTTATCTTACCAAATCATTAATGTTTTAGGGGAAAAGTAATAGTAAAATGAAAATTTTGGGAGTTAATTCCATTTTATTACCAATGATTAAAAAACAATAATTAGGTGTTCTCTGCTCTTGCTGCTTTCCGGTTTGTAAAATATTTGTACCAGAAACTACTGTACGTAACAGGACTACGCAGGGGAAGTAATCCAGGTAGGAAACTACTGTACGTAACAGGACTACGCAGGGGAACTAATCCAGGTAGAAAACTACTGTACGTAACAGGACTACGCAGGGGAACTAAACTAGGTAGAAAACCACTGTACATAACAGGACTATGCAGGGGAACTAATCCAAGTAGAAAACTACTGTACGTAACAGGACTACGCAGGGGAACTAATCCAGGTAGAAAACCATTGTACATAACAGGACTACGAAAGGGAACTAATCCAGGTAGAAAACTACTGTAAATAACAGGACTACGCAGGGGAACTAATCCAGGTAGAAAACTACTGTACATAACAGGACTACGCAGGGGTACTAATCCAGGTAGAAAACTACTGTACATAACAGGACTACGCAGGGGTACTAATCCAGGTAGAAAACTACTGTAAATAACAGGACTACGCAGGGGAACTAATCCAGGTAGAAAACTACTGTACATAACAGGACTACGTAGGGGTACTAATCCAGGTAGAAAACTACTGTAAATAACAGGACTACACAGGGGAACTAATCAAGGTAGAAAACTACTGTACATAACAGGACTACGCAGGGGTACTAATCCAGGTAGAAAACTACTGTACATAACAGGACTACGCAGGGGTACTAATCGAAGTAGAAAACTACTGTACATAACAGGACTATGCAGGGGAACTAATCCAGGTAGAAAACCACTGTACATAACAGGACTACGCAGGGGAACTAATCCAAGTAGAAAACTACTGTACATAACAGGACTACGCAGGGGAACTAATCCAAGTAGAAAACTACTGTACATAACAGGATTTAATGGCTATTCACTTCAAATAAGGACTACACTTTAGATTATTTGTTGAGTATTCTCTGGTACTAACCCTGGTAGAAAACTACTGTACATAACAGTACATTGGCAAGGTTAAGTGAAGAACTTCACGTTAAATAAGGCCTACACTCCCTTAAAGATTAATTGTTGAGGGTTTGCTGATACTGTTTGGAAAGCAGAGGCTGTAGCTCAATCCTCTCTTACTGAAATGGATCTCAAGGTAGAGCATTCAAGATCTTGGTATAGGGTAGCTTACAAAGGATGAGACTTCTGAGACGACTCTACGGAATTTATACTGTCTGTTTCCTTAAAATCACAATTCCCTGAAACTGTAACCTTGTTTCTTTCTGTGGCCTATCATTAATATATTATCATGTAATAGTAGAAGACTTATTTTAACTTTGCGTTCTCATAATATTTGAGTTTTAGGTCGTCTTTACAGTCTCATCCTTTTTTGTTAACCCGGTTTTTCTGCCCGTAAACAGCATAAACACGGGTATATATTTTTGTTTTAAAAATGTTGTTTTCCTACCTCCTTCTTCCGTTCTCTTTTAAAAAATAATTGTTTCCTAGAGGTTATTTAGGTTGGTAAAAAATAGGGTTTTCTCGTTAAATCGAAGAGAAAATAATTAAATTTAATGTTCAAATTATCACTTTTCTGTTTATGTCCAATTTTTACCTTTAAATAGTAAACCTTAAAATTCTTTTTTTGATTTTTTTTTTAAGTCCTCACTAATTTATATAATCAAAATCTGTAAGGATTATTGTTAAAGACTAATTGTAATAAATGTTTTTAAAATTGTTATTTCAGTCTCCTGTAAAATGGCCTCTTCTAATGTATCTTGGACTAACCATAGCAGCCCCATACCTTATATGGAAACTGTTAGGCTCATTTAATAGGTTGGTTGGTTGGTTGGTTGTTTGGTTGGTTGGTTGGTTGGTTGGTTGGTTGGTTGGTTGGTTGGTTGGTTGGTTGGTTGGTTGATTGGTTGGTTAAAAGACTTATTGGTTGATGGTTTTGTCGGTTTAATTGACTAAGAAGTCAATTTTTTACCATCAATTGATTAATGCTTTGATTGATTGTTTGATCTATTGATTGGTTAATTCATTGAGTCATTAATTGATTAATTTATTTATTCCATTATAAATTCATTCAGTCATTCTTCCTTTCATTGATTCATTGATTGTTTGATTGATTGCTTAAACTTGTTGATTGATTGATTGATTGATCGATGGCTTGATTGATTGATCTAGAGATGAGAGAAAGGTAGAATGGGAGCGGGGCAAAGGAGAACATTTTATCGCTAAATCTGTTCATTCTTTCCAGTCCCAGCAGCCTGGAGATCTCAGGTAGGTTTTAGAGTACCCTTGTGAATCGTAAATACCACTCTGCCAATTACGTACACAGTCACAGTTTCTTTTAAGTCTGAAACACTGGTCCATTGTTTCGAGTTTGGTCGATGGTTTCTCTTAATTAAACCTCTAATTTACACTCAAAATGTAGAATACAAAAGGCAGATCGTAAAATCAACTAATTTATATCAATAATAATCTTTTATGTTAAATAGTAAATATTTAGTCTTTGTTTGTCCTAAATGCTTGAACCCCCTTATTTATTAGAAACATGGCTTCACGTTTTTCATAATTTTTCATACTTTTTGCTCAAAATTCCGTTATTTTCCCCTAAAGCCTATTCATTTTCCCCAATTTAGGTGGAGGGGTGTTAATAATTTGTCAAGAAAATATACACCCCTGCTCCTTCTCCAGAACCACTTCAAGTCATAGAAAGTCCATCCTAGTCTATTGAAGGACTATTTCAAGTGACCCCTTTCATTCCATTCTAAGACGGGCTTGTCAATCTCACAAGGGTATGCTATCCTTCGTCAGAGCAATAATGGTGTAGCAATCCTTGTTTTTCTATCTAAAAATTTATTGTGAAATAAAAGGTTTTATTGTTATTTTCTTTAATTTTTTATTGTTATATTTTGTTTTTATTTGTAAAATTTATTAAGTTTTGATGCTGGTCAGATGCTTGTATTGGCTCCTCGTCATCTCCAACCAAGGTTAATCAGAGATGGAATTTAAAGAATTTGAATCTGCCAAAACCCGGTTTAAATTAAGCGCCGGCTTAAATCTTGAAACATTTGATACAATTTTAAGTGAAACCAACTTAAATTTAAACAAGCAGGTCAACCTGGACTAAAACTAGAGTCAGTTGACGACGAACAACCATTCCGAGAAGTAAAGCAAGAACGATCTTTTGGTTGGAACTCTTAACTCGACTCGAACTCACAGATTATCTTGTATAATATTTTTTCATTTGTGTTTTTGTTCTGTTGTAAATAAATTATTAGTTCTGTACATCGCTTAATATCTGGTTGAATGAACTAATCCGTCTTTTATTCATTTTTCTCATATATTACATTATTATTATAACTATTAATATCATCGTAGGCAACAAGGTTGGCTGCTAGCTTCTTGCTCTGGTAGAACAGGATTAGTTCCAGCCAATTACATTAATATTATTGCCAGGTGGGGCTCTTTTATATATTTTTGCCAGGTAGGGCACTTTTGAATATCATTGCCAGACCCTTTTGAATATCATAGCCAGTTGGAGCATTTTTAAAAACTTTTTGCCTGTTGGGCTACTTTTAAACATTATTCCCAGTTGGGGTACTTTTGAGCATTATTGCCAATTGGGGTACTTTTAAACACTATTCCCAGGTGGGGTACTTTTAAACATTATTGCCAGTTGGGGCTCTTATAAATATTATTGCCAGGTGGGGTACTTTTATATATTTTTGCCAGGTAGGGCACTTTTAAATATCATTGCCAGACCCTTTTGAAGAGCATAGCCAGTTGGAGCACTTTTAAACATTATTGCCAGGTGGGGTCCTTTTAAACATTATTGCCAGTTGGAGCACTTTTAGAGATTATTGCCATTTGGGGTATTTTTAAACATTATTGCTAGTTAGGGTACTTTTAAACATTATTGCCAGTTGGGGCACTTTTAGACATTATTGCCAGTTGGGATATTTTTAAACATTATTGCTAGTTGGGGTACTGTTAAACATTATTGCCAGTTGGGGCACTTTTCAATATTATTGCCAGTTGGGGTACTTTTCAATATTATTGCCAGGTGGGGTACTTTTAAATATCATTGCAAGGTGGGGTACTTCTAAATATTATTGCCAGGTGGGGTACTTTTAAATATTATTGCCAGGTGGGATGCTTTTAAATATTATTGCCAGGTGCGGTACTTTTAAATATTATAGATCGGGAACTTTAAATATTATTGCCAGGTTGGTTACTTTAAATATTATTGCCAGGTGGGAATTTTTAAACTTGATTGCATTGTTTTTGGTTATTTTCGATATGAATATTTATGTAAAAATAATATGAAGCACGTACGTCGTACAATAATGTACATTGTACTTTAAAAACCTGTAAAATCTTTCCTTGTGATGTTGTACATTGTAGTACCCTGTACCCTGAAGCACTCTGTATACCCTGTTACCATCAATTTCCATAAAAAGATTTGGGAATTACAAATTGGTGTTTTTGTCATTCCTCCCTCCAATGAATCACTAGCTGTTTCGTTTTAAACCATCAACATAATCTCTTTTTTTACTGTTTTACATAAATGAAAATAATGCAAAACTAGAGTAAAGTGCAACCCAGAAAAGCTTCTATATAAGTTCTAAATATTTTTGTTCCAAAAAAAAAATTCTGTTTGGTTTGGCAACTTTTTTCTGCAGAATCTTTCCTACTTTCTGAAAGGTTTTACATCGGTATGTTTAAGGATATCTTCTCGATGTAAAGCAATAATTATAAATAATTATTTTGACTTAAACTCTTAAAAAAGTCAATTTAGAAAAAATATGCCGGTTTAAGAAAGTTTTCTATAAATATTTGCAATCATCCAGAACAAAAAGTTTTGTCAAAATTAAACTTTTTTAGGTTCATGGGACGTTTCCAAAAAAATGCAAAAAAAATCGTTTCTGACACCCCTAGGCTTAGTACGTCAATATAATTCACCAAAACCATACTTCAGTCCTTCAATTATCATACAGGGAAATTTTCATCTTTCTAAACATCCAAAGGGAAAGATTTGACAGGTTCTTTTAGTTGAAAAAAGGAACTGATACTTGAGAAAAAACATTTTTTTTATGTTTTCTTTTCTCATTTAGAAGGGAAGGAGGAGATGAATGTAGTAAAGGAAATGGAGCCATTAAACAAAATGGAGACAAAGGACAAAATGGAGCCAATGGAGTTGCAGGAGTGTCAAGGCCAGATATCATAGAAGAATCAATCGTGTCAAATGATCAATTTGAGTCAGTTTTTGATCAAGCATTTGACCCAGATCGTAATTAATACTTAATTATAAACTTTATTTTTTATTTTAAGCGGGAAACATTGCAATGTGGATTAAACCTCAACTATTTGCATTTTATGATATTTTGGAAATTATTCGCCATTTTGACCATTTTTTAAAACTTCATCATTTCTTCAAATTTGAAGTGAAATTGCATATATTTCACTGACCCAGTTGAACATCTGAAATCTTAATATTTAAAACATATCTTTCCTCTGGGTTATTATGAAAATTTTTCTTATAAGATACTTAGATTACTCATAATATATATTATACTATTTTAGATATATAACCAACTGTGATTAAAACCTGAATTTTGATGGAAATTTTAACAAATTTGCATATTTTTTCATAGATTATTAAATATTTCTTTTCAGAAAAAAAAATAATATGTTAACACGTACAATTGGGTAATTTTTCTTTTAGTAAGGTAACCTTTAAATCTTTCATCATAAAAAATTGACAAGAAAAAAAGAAAAAAAAAGAGAAATGTGTATTCTGATAAAAATAGCTTTTTTATATAGATAGATAGATAGATAGATAGATAGATAGATAGATAGATAGATAGATAGATAGATAGGTAGATAGATAGATAAGAAGATAGATAGATAAGAAGATAAGAAGATAGATTTAAAGATAAACGACTGTAAATAATATTGTATTATATTCAGTTCCTTCTTACATTTTACATTCTTAATTATAGCATCGAAATATTTTGAAGTTATTGGTTGTCTGAAATAAAACTATTAAATGTAGCGGGAAGTTGTTGTTACAGAATTTAACAATAAAGATATGAAAACGACGATATCTTCCTCACTATTGCTCAGTTAAAGATGTATTGGGTACCGTTGTGACTAGAGCATGCCATTTTTCAATTGTTAGGAACTTGAACTTACGTCTACAATCTCTTTTAGAAACTGGAAGTTGTTCTTAGAGATAGAACTTCTGCAGTGACATTTTAATCATATTTCATTTTCATATTTTTATTTCAGAGAATATGTTTCTCTCTATCCTTCTTTTTTTTCCTCCTCTTCTTCTTCCTTCTCCTTCTAGTGGACTTAGCAAGGAGCTAGAAGGACTTAAGCTTGTTCATATTGGTGAGAACTTTATATATTTTAGATATTAAAGGACACCCCCTACATTCAATGAAAAAGGGGTCGGATGCTATGTTTAATGTTTATTAATTATTATATCATATCTGTTCGGTTCCATAGTAGTAAACCTATCGTGTAAGAATTCCCATTATTACACGGTTCAGGAGGAACAATTTTAATATTGTTCGCTTCCTTGCGTTTAAGAATGCTTATTCTTACACTGTATGTGTAGAATTTTCATTCTTTAACGCTTAGACAGGTATGTGCCCATGGAACCTCACAAATATGATATAATAATAATCTTATGAGGATAAAAATGTAATAATGGTATGCGGCCTTCGTTAAAGAATACATCAAGATTATTTCATCTCGTTTAAGAATTTCCATTATTACATTTTTTTCCTCATAAGATTATCATATTCCTTAACATGAATTTATTCTGCATTCCTTTTTTAAAAAAATATATTTGCCTATAATTGTTATTTCAACATTGTAAATTATCATTTTTTCAAGTAATTAAAGATAATAAAATTAAGTTATTAATAGATTAATTTATTGAGTAATTGATTGATTAATTGATTATCTGATTAATTGATTTCGTTTGTTAGTATTTAGACACGGAGACAGAACTCCAATAGATATATTTCCAACAGATCCCTATAAGGTCAGATATAAAGACAGACAGATAATTGTACACTTACACTTATTGTTATTGATGTCAAGATAGAAAGACAGATAGAAACAGATAGATAGAGAGAGATAGACTAAAATACCTTTTGACAGATACATAGAAAATAGAGGCAGATAAATAGGCAAATAGAGAAATAAATAGATAGGCAGAACGACAGATAGATAGATAGATAAATAAACAAATATATTAATATCGATAACTGGATAGAGATTCTGAACCCCAGACAGACATTGTTTGATTTTGATCGATAATGTTAGACGAATAGACAGGCTAAAAGTCTTTATTTTTTATACAGGACCGTAGTAATTGGCCGGTTGGGTTTGGTCAGCTGTTAAACCGCGGGAAATTACGCCATTTTGAACTAGGGCAATGGCTTCGTCAAAGGTAACGAAGCTTTTTTTTATAATCTGAAATTTTATTTATTTGTCAGAATGAAATTATGAATATTCTAGTAATGTTCTAATGTATCTACACGCTTTTTACAGTTTTTTTGCTTATTGGTTGATTGATTGTTTTATTATTGATTGATTGGTTCATTATTGATTGATCATTTAGTTTATTCATTGATTTTTTCGTTGATTGATTGATTGATTTATATATAGGTATTTTGGATTCCTTGGAGATGTTTACGATGAAAACGAGATTTATGTCAGGTAATAATAAACCTGTTCGGTTCTTATATCGAATTTATATGTTGTGCAAAAGGATTAGACACTAGACAGTAACGACGACCAGAATGATATTTAATTAAATCTTCTGTCTTGAATATAGTCTCCTCTTATTAAATAATTTAGTAAAGATGAAAAACAAGTTAACAGTTGCAGGGAATCATGAATATAAAGAAACAGTATACATTCCGCTCAGTCGTCTCTGAAGTCTCATCCTTTGTGTGTTACTCTGTATTTCCGACACAACTAGAATATACAATAGACATGCAATGTATACTTTTCACTATAACCACACTCTATGTCTCCATCTTAAAAGTAGCTGGCGTGTACAGGATGGTTATTTCTNATTCCAATAGGTGGTGAGCCATCTCCCGGCCCTCCCGGAAAAGAAAAAATTAAGCCCCCCCCCTGTATACGCCCCTGCTGTTGTGATTAATGACTCATGAAAGTAAAACGTTAAACAATAAATGAATTGTAAAGGTCTACTGACGTGGATCGAACCCTGATGTCAGCTGAAGCTAATCTAGCTGGCCTCTATCCTCCAACCTCCAACCAACGATGGAACAAAGATCTTGGTAGATTTTTAAGAGTTTTTTGAATCAAAATGTCGTCCTTGAATTGAAACAGTATTTATGTATTTTCCATTTTAAATATTTTAATTGATTTCAAATTAAATGCAGTGATAACCAGCAAACTCTGAAATGGGAAGACGACTTTTAAACTCAAGTTAGGACTTAAACAACTTCAATGAACATTATCGACATAGTAATTGTACAGTTTGCTAACTACTTGTAAAAATATTTGCTTTGTATCATCAAAACCCTGATGTATTGCTATAATGTCGTCTTGCTATTCCATTCTGTTCTGGTTATCACTGTATTTCATTTAGCCTGGGAACCAATTCCTGTTCATACAGTACCACAGAGTGAAGATGCTCTTCTTTCCTCCCACGCTGACTGTCCAAGGTATAAATCCGCCATTTTATTTGTAACTACGTGACTGGCGCCATTTTGTTGATAAACTCAGGACATTTCCCATTTAATACATGATTTGATCATGCTTTATTCATTTGTTCATTTGTTCATTTGTTCTTTGTTCTTTTCTTCTTTGTTCATTTGTTCTTTGTTCATTAGTTCATATGTTTATATGTTTATATGTTCATTTGTTTATTTGATCATTTGTTCATTCGTTCAGTTGTTCAGTCGTTCAGTTGTTCATTTGATCATTTGTTCATTTCTTCATTTATTCATTTGTTTCATTTGTTTTGTTCATTTGTTCATTTGTTCATTTGTTCGTTTGGGTGTTTGTTCATTTGTTCGTTTGTTCGTTTGTTCATGCATTCATGTATTCATCTATTCATGTATTCATGTATTAATGTATTCATTTATTCATTTATTCAATTGTTAGATTTACTGAACTTCAAGAACAGCTGCTAGTGTCAGAAGACTTCAGGTATTAGATAATTGTTGTAACATTGGTTTGTGGGGCACAGTGGTTTTTAGGGGGGGGAGTGGAGCCGACATTTTTTTATTTTGAAATTCGAAAAGAGTTTGCTTTTAAGAAAAGTGTCGTTGAAGAAATTAGTGTAAAAACGCTTATATTCTGTAAATAATTCACGTTTAAAAAAAAAAATTAGAAAAAACGCGAAATATCGTGGATTTGTCCAAAATAGGCATGGGGGATTACAAATTACATCTTTAAAACGTTTTGTGCTTAGCAAATATGTAGACTGTCGAAACTATTTAGTTAGTCATTTAAGTTAGGTGTAAAAAGATGTTTTATCAAATTGTTATGATAGTTGTTATGTTTGTTATCATGATTTTATTATAATTGTTATGAATGTTATTATGATGTTATCATGATTGTTATCATGTTATTATGATTGTTCTTCTGATTATTGATATGTTTTTTATCTTGATTCTTAACATGATTGTTATTATGATTGTTATAATAACTGTTATCTTTATTTTTATCATGATTTAATATTATGACTGTCACATGATTTTTAATTTTTTGTTATGTTTATTTATTATTATTTGTACCGTCAAATGTAACTTTTAAATGAAATATGTTTTCAATAATATGATTTATCAGACTATGTTTATGACACCCTGAAGATTGAAACTGAAATGAACTTCACCCTGGATCCTTGGACTAAATCAGTCTTTCCAGATGGAAAATTTGCGGTAAGATTATTTTGTGGAATATATCATTTCAAGAATTTTTTTTGTTTCCTTACGAAATTATTTTTTCTATCCTCCCTCATGAAATTCCTTTCTCATGAAATTCGCGGTAAAATTTTTTTGTGTTATGAAGAAGGTAAAAAAACCTCCCTCTTAAACTTTTTTATCCTCCCTCATGAACTTTTTATTCTCCCTCAGGAACTTTTTTATCCTCCCTCATGAACTTTTTTGCCCTCCCTTATGAACTTATTTATCCTCCCCCTTGAGCTTTTTTGTCCTCCCTCATGAAATTTTTACAATCCTCATGAAATTAATTTTTTTATTCTTTTTATGAAAGTTTTTCATCTAAATCAGCAAAAAATCCATTATTCATAAAATCTTTATTCAGGAGTTGAAGGATTTCTCCTTCCTAGTTGACACCTACACTCCTGAACTAAGGAAGCTCAAGGGAGGTCCTTTCCTCAAGGAGATGATTGAACATCTTGACAAGGTGATTTAACAATCTGGAGTTTTTAGATTTCAAATAAAAAAATCAGGAATTTTGTTGGATTTTATAACTAAGTTTGCCCGAAGATCTTTACAATTTTTCGAAGTTGGCTAAGAAGATTGCCTTGGTTCTACTGAGTCAATTAAAATTTGAGGCAAATTGGTCAAGGGGTTCATAAGTTATGATCGAACATCCAAGCAAACAGACAGATAAACAGAGATTACTACTTTATAAACAAAGATGTTGCTTGTCTGTTCCTTTGGGTAACAGTGAACACTGTACCTCTTTGTTCAATTTAAGAACAGTTATTGTTTACTTATTCCTATATCTGTGCAACTGGAAATCTTTGATATTTCAACCTTTGACTTTTTGATCTAGCAATTTTCTTAGGTTGAAATATCAAAGTCTACAACTTAAGGTTTCAAAGATATAAGGATTAGAAAGTAAGAGTTTGGGAGAAGTCATTGCAGAAAATAAATGAATTTTTTGGATGTTTTCTGCAGCTAGCCAAATTGCAGAGGTAGAACTATTTTTTGAAGCCCTGTTTCTATATTCTATATATTGAGAGTGGCAAGGTTACTCTTCCCCTTATTTATATTTAAATTTTGCTTCAGTCATGATAACTGTGTCCAGTCAGCTCCTGCATTCCTAGCTCTTCTTGGAGGGGGAGAGGGGTGAGGGGGGCATTTTACACATTTTCCAGTTTTTTTATCTCGAGTAGGACATAGAGGGGGGGATGGGACGTCTGCCATCCTGTGTATTTGTCTTTATTCGTTATCAGTGAAAAAAAAAAAAAATAGATAATGTAAAGCTCAAATCCCCTTCTAATTTTTCCTGTTCAAAGTTTTCTTCTTCTTTCTTGTTTATCTTGCTTTAAGCACCCATCTCTACTGTCAAGAGATTTCCCTTCCACTTTTTTCTGTTCATTTTTTTTTCTTCTTGCTCCTTGTTTCTTGTTTTTACACTTTAAGGCATTTCCAATAGTTCTTTTAACATCGAGTTGTGGAGCAGGTAGGAGAGAGATAAGGAGGTTTGGTGGAAGAATGGTATAGGGAATTTCTCCCTGTGTTCATTCATTTTATACTGTTTCCCAGTTAGGGGAATTAAGGAATTTACCCATAACTGCACCCCATATGCAAAATGAGGAGTTGTGATCCCTGAAAGCTCTATTGAGAGGTATCTTCCATGGCAGTCCAGTCCTCACATCTGGTCGAGTAAAAAAACGGTATCATTGTGCATGGCTTGTATTCCCACGAGGGGTTAAACTCCTCTTTCAGTGAACCAAGCTGAAGATGTAGTTTTGTTGTAATCTATGTACAATTCTTGCTTCCCCTGTAGGATACTAGATGCTTAACTAAACACAGGGCTTTCCCAGCTGCAATTCTGGGACTGCATAGTAGGTCCGTTCTGCTTGAGAGAAAGCAGGCAACTGAACACTGTACATGTAATAATGTACTGTACTGTTAAGTTTAAATCTGGAGAACTGGATCCAGCAAATAGAAAAGTGTTTATGTACAGCGGACATGATACAACAATTGCTCCTATTCTTCATACTTTAGGTAGGTTTTCACATATTAATATTTACTCTTTGAACTACTATTATACCACATTCTTATCGGATTTATTACGTAGCCAAATCAGCAATAATTCTTATTATGTATTTGAACCTCCTATTCCTCCTACCTATGCTACTATACTATTTGAACTACTAATATATTCTCTAGATGTATTTGATCCTCCTATTCCTCCTACCTATGATGCTACTGTACTGTTTGAACTACTAATATATTCTCTGTAGATGTATTTGATCCTCCTATTCCTCCTACCTATGCTACTGTTTGAACTACTAATATATTCTATCTGTATACAGATACATTTATTTTAGCAATAAACTTTATCTTATCTTATCTTATCTTATTCCTCCTACCTATGCTACTGTTTGAACTACTAATATATTCTCTGTAGATGTATTTGATCCTTCTATTCCTCCTACCTATGCTACTGTTTGAACTACTAATATATTCTCTGTAGATGTTTTTGACCCTCCAATTGCTCCTGCCTATGCTGCTACTATACTATTCGAACTACTGGAGAAGGAAGGAGTTCTAAGCCTGCAAGTCTCCTACAAGAATGAGTCTGGCGATCCATTTATCCTGACTATTCCAGGATGTACCCAGCGTTGTCCTCTTGACAAACTAAAGGGTAAGTTTGACCCCATCTGACCTCAAACTGATTCCCAGTAACATCATATTTTATAATTTTTACCTTTACTATGATTTACAATTGACATTGATCTCAGCTTTGTCTTTTATTTAGTCTTGACAATGATCTTGAAAATTTACCTATTTTTTTGACCTTGTCTGACCATTTGTTGACCCATGACCCTAACCTTTTCTGTATAAGTGTTCTTGGGTTCAATGATCCTAATCTTGTCTGTTAAAGTTTTGTTGGCTCCAATGACCTTGTCTGTTTAAGTATTGTTGGCTCCAATGACCTTGTCTGTTAAGTATTGTTGGCTACAATGACCTTGTCTGTTTAAGTATTGTTGGCTCCAATGACCTTGTCTGTTAAGTATTGTTGGCACCAATGACATTCTCTGTTTAAGTATAGTTGGCTCCAAGGACCTTGTCTGTTTAAGTTTTGTTGGCTCCAATGACCTTTTCTGTTTAACTATTGTTGGCACCAATGACCTTTTCTGTTGAAGTATTGTTGGCTCCAATGATCCCTGAAGACTGGAGAGCTGAATGTGGTTTAAAGGATTCTAATAGTTTAGAGACTAGGGTCACATTCATAGGTAACATCTAATCATTCATTTATTCATCCTTTCATTCATTCATTCGTTCATTCATTCACTCAACCTTAGGTAACATCTTTCTGTCTATCTAAATATGAGGTAGTCACTAGCAACCCCTAACACAATTTAAACCATTTGAGCCGCGGTTTAGATTTGAAACGAGGCTCAAATATGGTTGGTTCCACTTAAAATTGTATTCCATGTTTCAAGATCAAAGCCGGCGCTCAAATCAACCCGATTTTTGGCGGATTTGGGACGCTGCGCAAATTCATTAAATTCGGACTCTGGTTTGATTTGAATGTGTATATTCGTTCATTTATTTGTTTCTATCTATTCATTATTTCAATCATCGATCTATTAATAATTTTTAATATTATCTATCTATACATCAATTCTATTTAAAAACTGTTATTTTTCAGCTGCTGTTGTAAGCTCTATTATGGCTGTAACGGTACTGTTGGGAGTTGTTTACATTATCTGTAAGAAAAAACAGGATGGACCTGAAGCTAGGTTAGTACAGGGCTAATTCTCCTATTTATTCATTTATTCATCCTTTTATTCTTATTCATTCATTCATTCATTCATTTATTCGTTCATTCATTCATCTATTCATTCATTCATTTATTCGTTCATTCATTCATTTATTCATTCATTCATTCACTCATTCATCCTTTCATTCATCCTTTCATCCATTCATTAATTTATTCACTCACCTATTCATTCATTCACTCACTCATTTATCCTTTCATTCATCCTTTCATTCATTCATTCATTCATTCATTCATTCACTCATCCTTAGGTAACATCTTTCTGTCTATCTACATATGAGGTAGTCAATAGCAATCCCTAACACAATTTAAAAAATTTGAGCCGCGGTTTAGATTTGAAACGAGGCTCAAATATGGTTGGTTCCACTTAAAATTGTATTCCATGTTTCAAGATATTGAATAGAGGGATAATTTCAGGGCTGTGGACTGGATATTGATTAAAGGGATAATTTCAAGTAATTTCAAATGTCCTTTAATGCCCGATTCACAACGGTACTAGGGTTTCGACGAAACAGTTGATTCTCTTGCGCAACAATTTCGTGGTTTTGCACAAAATTTCACATCATTTTCGTATCAATACGAAACCAGCTTTGCACGAAATTCATTCGAAATAAACAATTGTTTTGCACGAAATTTCCCATGAATACGAAATCTAAGTCAGATTTTTTTCATGATATTGCGCATGAATTTTTGCATGTAATTGTGCAATGCCCATGAATACGAAAAATTGGAATTTTCGTGCTGTAGTATTTCGCATGAATACAAAATTAAGTAATATTGTTGCACGCCATATAAATTATCCATATTTATTGAGGGAGGGGAGGAAGGTCAACCACATCAATCTCTAGTCCGAACCACATTCTCATCATTTTCTCGTCCGAACCACATCGAAATCCTCGTCCTTTCAATATTATTTTTTTTAAGTGTCCGATCCTTGAAAATAAATACATTTTTTAAAAATATGGCGACGTTAGGGCATAAAACATGACTAGAATAAAGTTTTCCAAGGATTTTGAGATGTTGGAATCTTCAAATCCACGAGAATGATGTCAAACATTATTTAGGTTCAAAATTGAATCTCTTCTGCCTCCAAAATGGATAACTTTCACAAATAAAAGTTTACACCAAAGAATTCGCGTGAACATGGTCTTTAATCTTTCCATTTCATACCATACAAAAAAATCATTGATTTCTGATTTATTTACAAATAAGGTAGATTTGTTGTCCCCACTAAGAGATCACTACTGCCTGCCGCATGCTTAAAATTCTAGAAAAAATAATGTTCAATTTATATTATTCAAATCATTTGCTACAATTAATTGGTCACAACCCTATGAATTCAAACAGTATTTAATCATATAAAAATTGTAAGTCATATCTCTAACCTAAATTCAGCTGAAATATTACAAAAAGTTGTTTACATCGAGTTTGAGAATGTTTTGCGGCATTTTCGGTGGTTCGGACTAGAGATTGATGTGGTTGGCCTTCCTCCCCTCATTGAGGTATAGTGCATAATATGAAGGATGTTAATATTTGAACAGTATGGTGTGAATTAGTTTCAGTAAAAAAAACAACTTACATAGCAGTATTTTATTAATGAACAATATGAAGTTACAAATATGTGTTGAAAATACGAAATAACGAAATAGCTCGAAATAAAGAAACAGCAGAAAAAACAAAATACGTAAATACCAAGATTTTCTTCAGAATTTGCGCGAACTATCTTTTGCGCAACAATGCGTAAAAACATCGAAATTTCGTGCAATTTTTACTCGAAACGTAAGAAAACCTTTGCGTAAATTTTGCTCGAAAATTTAGACTGGAAACCCTTAACGATACCCTTGAACCTTTTATCTGATCAATAATATGGAAGATATTGTCGTTTTTCTATACTTGAAAGTGTTTAATTTCTGATAGTTCTTATATCTTATCCTGCAGTAGAAAAACCCACAACATAACCCTATAAACATTCACTAATTCATACTTGATCAGACAAAGGTTTTAAGGGTACTGCTGCGAATTAGTCATTGTCATCTTTGCATTGAAGAACTTGAAGTTACGCTTACACAACTTTTAAAGTGGGTTTAAAGACCTTACCATATTCTGAAGCTGGTCTTGAGAAGGAACTGATTGAGGAGTGTGTTCCCAATCAAAGAATAGATGAAATGTTGTATAATCTCTCACCAGTTCGCTTGCAAGACAATTCCTAAATATATTTCTTGGCATTTTTACGGGGTTGACATTTTGATTTAATTTCTCTTTTTCTAACTATTAGTACCTTGTATATGTACCTTGTATTAGTACCTTGTATAGGTAAAATTAGTAGAACTAGATTTAAAAAAGATGCCTTGAAAATAATTATAGGCTGAGTACTCAAATAAAATTGCTTCAAGAAACATAACTTTGAATTTATTACCAGAAAATTATTTTTAAAAAAACAAAATTGAAACAAGAAAACAAAATGGCGCCTGGGAAACCAAATGATGTCTAGAAAAGAAGGCGGTTAGAATAAGAAAATGGCGATTAGAAAAATAAAATGGCGACTAGCATTTATTCGTTCATTCATTCATTTATTCATTCCTTC